CTGGCACCGGGTGCTGCGTTACGGCCTCAGCGTCACGGACGACTCTCCCCTCTCCGAGGTGGTGGACGCGATGGAGAGCCACCTCCGAAAACAACGCAGTGTCCTGGTGGACCGTCGGGCCTTCTACGCCCGTGTGCAAGAGGAGGGCGAAAACTTTGAGGAGTTTTTGTGTGGTGCAAAGGAGCTCGCCGCGTTTTGTGACTTTTGCACGCACTGTTACGATTCACGGTTGCGTGATAAGATCGTGTGCGGCCTGCGAGATGAAGAAACCGTAAAACGGCTGCTGGAGGATCCGGAACTCGACCTGAAGAAGGCCGTAGATATCTGTCGTGCGTCGGAAAACGCCCGCGCTACCTGCTCTGATCTCCGCGCGCCGAACGCATCGCTGAACCGGCTGTCAGCGTACCGCCGGTCAAAGTCGCGCGATGCGCGCCCCGCGGCCCAACCCGGCGGGCGTTCCGCGGGTGCAGCTGGCGTGCGCCGCCCCCTGGCGCGCGATGCGCGCCCCGCGGCCCAACCTGGCGGGCGCTCCGCGGGCGCGGCCGGCGCGCGCTGCTGCCGCTGCGGGCGGGCCGCCCACGCAGACCCGGCGGCGTGCCGCGCCACTAGCGCCACCTGTAACTCGTGCGGCCAGCGCGGCCACTTTGCAGTGGTATGTGTCCAGGTGGCGCGCGAGAGCACCGTTGCCCCCGTCGAGCACGCAGCACCAGAGCCGCACATCGGCCGTCTAATACGAGACGTCTATGTAAACGGCGTCTCTACACGGCCGACACCTCCCGTGTCTGTTCGACTGTCTACCGCAGCTGGTGTGTTCACCATGGCGGCCCGGGCCGACTCCGGTGCCGAGGCGACAGTCATCGGAGAAGACAGCCTGTCTTCTATCTGCGTGGAACCAGCGCAGTTGGAGCCCTGTATCGGCCAGCCCTTCTCAGCAGTGGGGAGACACCCGCTCACCTGTATCGGGTCGTTCCAGGCTGCTCTGGAGCTGGGCGACCGATCGACCACCGCCGCCGTGTTCGTCATCAAGGAGATGACTGGCCTGCTACTCAGCTGGTTCGACTGTGTGGCGCTGGGGATTCTGCCGAGGGATTTTCCGGCACAGATCCGGTCTGTCGAGGACGCACCGCGCCCCACTGATGACACCACTCACTCTGGTGACGTCACACCCTCTGATGACGTCACACCGTCTGCACTGCCGGCCGTTGCCGGCTCTGCTCGATGCGCCAGCGACCGCCCTACCCCGTGTGAGACGCCGCGTGACAGGCTCTGTCCGGCCACCGGGGCCGAGACGGGCGGGCCGGCGCCGCCGGCCGATGGACCCAGCCCGGCCGCCGGCCTCGGCGGTCCGCTGCCGGCCTGGAACAGCGACTCAGACCCACCGGAGGCGGTCCGTGCCGCTCATGCCGCCGCTCTGGTGCAGTGTTTCCCGCGCGTGTTCGGGCAAGATTCGACTCTCCGAGTCATGGACGGCGGCCCGATGAAGATCGAACTCCGGCCCGACGCGAGTCCGACGTCGGTCACCGCCGCGAGACCGATTCCCTTCGCCTGGCGGGCGGAGGTGAAGGCGCAGCTGGACGACCTGCTGAACCGCGGCATCATCGTACCCGTGGACTACCCGACGGAATGGTGTCATCCCATTTCGTGCGTGCCGAAGAACCCGTCCGGGTTTCGACTCTGCGTGGACCTGACGGGACTCAATCGGTACGTGAATCGACCCACGTACCCCTGCCGGTCTCCTCACGATGCCGTGACGAGTCTGCCCGCCGGGCACCGATGGATGTCGACTCTGGACGCCAAGATGGGCTACTTCCAGGTGCCGCTCGCTGAGTCAAGTCAGGACCTCACCTGCTTCATCACGCCGTGGGGCAGGTTCAAGTTCGTCCGCTGTCCGATGGGATGTAGTGCGTCTGGAGACGAGTACAACCGGCGCGGCGATGCAGCGCTCGGCGACATCCCAAACTGTGTCAAAATTGTTGATGACATCCTGGCCGTGGCACAGACGTACCGGCAGCACCTGCAGCAGGTGATCGAAGTCCTCCGGCGCTGTGACGACCGAGGAATCACGCTGAACCCGCAGAAGTTCAAGTTCGCCCAGAATGAGGTCAAATTCTGCGGCTACAAGATCACACCGGCCGGCTACACCACCGACCATGAGAAGGCCCGCGCCATCGCTGATTTTCCGAGACCGGAAAACGTCACCGACCTGCGGTCCTTCATGGGTCTGGTGAATCAGCTGAGCGGCCTCACACCGGAGCTGGCAGGCTCGACTCAGGCCTTCAGAGACCTCCTCAAGTCGCGCCGGGTCTGGCGCTGGACTGAGCAGCACGAGGCAGCGTTTCTGCACACGAAGATTGTGCTGTCGTCACCGCCGGTGATGGCATTCTTCGACCCGCAGCTGCCGACCGTGCTACAGACTGACGCTGCTAAAACCCGAGGGCTGGGTTTTGCACTGCTCCAGAAGCACGGCGAGGACTGGCGTGTGGTCCAGTATGGCTCACGGTTCCTGACAGATACCGAGAGTCGGTATGCCGTCATCGAGGTGGAGCTGGCTGCTGTACTCTGGGCCTGCAAGAAGTGTCATGTCTACCTGGCTGGCATGCCGCACTTCGACCTGGTGGTCGACCACCGGCCGCTGGTGACCATCCTGAACTACAAACAGCTCAACTCGATCGACAACCCGCGTCTGCAAAGGATGAGAGAGAAGTTGTCGGCCTACAGCTTCACCACCAGCTGGCAGAAGGGTTCGAGTCACGTGATCCCAGACGCGCTCTCACGAGCGCCCACCAGTGACCCCGCCGCCGACGACGACGGAGAGGTGGACGCAGCGGACGACCCGCTACACGCCTGCGTCATTGCCGCGCTGCAGGCCTCCGATCGGTCGGAAGATGGCGTCCAGCTGGCCCCGCTGATCGACTCAGCACTCGACAGAGTCCGCGCCGCCGCGGAGCGCGACCCCGAGCACCGGGCTCTCAGCGAGGTGATTCTCGCCGGATTCCCAGAGAACCGGCACGAGGCGCCCCCGGCAGTGCGAGCTTACTGGGGAGTGCGCCATCAGCTCGCCATCGACGACGGGCTGGTGGTATATGGCGCTCGGCTGGTCGTCCCGTCCGCCCTCCGGCGCGGTGTGCTGGAGAAGCTCCATGACTCACACCAGGGCGTCGACCGCACCAAGCGCCGTGCCCGGCTCAGTGTGTACTGGCCGGGCATAGACAAACAGATCGCTGACACCGTCGCCGCCTGCGCTCAGTGCCGTCAGCGCCTGCCCAGTCACGCTCGGGAGCCGATGTGGCGGGAGGACGGCGTACCGACGCGCGTCTTCGAGTCAGTCTCGGCCGACTACTTCTCCGCTGGAGGACACACGTACCTGGTGTACGTGGACCGGCTGTCCGGGTGGCCGTATGTCACTGTGTGTCCCCGCACGGCCTCGGCGGACCACCTGACGCGGCAGCTCCGACTGATGTTCTCGCAGACGGGCGTCCCGACCGTGTTCCGGTCAGACGGCGGACCCCAGTTTGCATCGGGCACGCTCCGCCGGTTCCTCCAGCGCTGGGATGTACGACATGAGATGTCATCACCGCACTACCCGCGCTCTAACGGGCACGCGGAGGCCTGCGTGAAGACAGCAAAGAAGCTGGTGCTGGCTGCGTCTTCATCGGGCAAACTGGACCAGGACCAACTGGACCGAAGTCTGCTCGAACTCCGTAACACGCCCCGAGCAGACGGGCGGTCGCCGGGGTGGGATGTTGTGTTCGGGTATAGGGGGTGTAGACTTGGACCGCCTCTGCGGCCCCACCTCTGTGTGCCTGGGAGCGCCCCTGCCGGCGCTCAGCTGTCCGTGCGCGCCAAGCGGCGTGAGTGGCGCACGGGACGAAAACTGACGCTCGCCATACTTGTTTACTTTTTTCGGGTATCTTTTCGGCCTAACGTCTCGCAGTCAATAAATCGCATTTTTCCGTTTCTACATTTCCATTTCGAACCGATCAACAACAACTTAACACAGACTACTGCAGTTATGTTCAACTTCCTGTTGAAGGTTAGGAATATTCTGCTCCGTTCAGAACTGATGAATGTTTCAAAATATAACAATGATTTATCTTCCTCAACATGTGATTTATTGAATTGTTTTGTTCTGTTCTCCATCATTATTCAAAGTGAAAATGGTTATTTTTCGATCATTATGACAATATCTTGCTGTTTTTTTCAGGATGCTTAAATTGCCGGCATTTTTTGAATTCCCGCAATGAAATAGCTTGCAAAAATGGTCCTTATATGATGTCTGACATCAATGGCATCAGTAATTGCTAATATTTGAGGTGCTGCAGATGTCAGAGATCGTCTCCCTGGGCTGTTGCAGATGGCGCTGCGATCACGGCCGCCGACCGGGCCGAGCTGGCCTCTGCCGAGGTACTGGTCACCACGGCGCCGCTGCTGGGCTCGACGCTCTACTCCCTGCCGCGGCTGCAGTGGGCGCAACTCACCTTCGCCGGCGTGGAGAAACTCATGCAGTTTTATCAGCCGGACAAGGTAGCTGTTTGAGCGGCATTCACGCGGTCGGAACTTTATCGCAATTCGCAATCAACCTTTGAGCGCAAAAATATAAAATACACAGAAGTTCTTAGGTGTACCATGGATAGTGTGATTCCTCTGTATGTCCTCTGCACTGGCCGTCCCACTGACTGGCCCCCTCTGCCCGGCAGCCGGCGCCGCCGTTCGCCGTCACGCGGATGGCCAGCACAGCCTTCAGCCGCGAGCTGGCCGAGTGGGTGCTGGCGGCAGTGCTGGGACACGAGCGCGGCTTCGGGAGGCTGTGGGCGGCCCAGCGGCGGCGCGCCTGGACCCAGAGCACCTACACGTACCGACCCGTCTCGGAGCTGACCATTGGAGTGCTCGGGACGGGGCAGATGGGGAGAGAAGGTGAGGGGACGAGAGGACGGATGGGGAGGGGAGGTGAGAGGGCGAGAGGACGGACGGGGAGAGAAGGTGAGAGGGCGAGAGGACGGATGGGGAGAGAAGGTGAGAGGCCGAGAGGACGGACAGGGAGAGAAGGTGAGAGGGCGAGATCTCGGAACGGATCAGGAGGGAAAGCGGGGACTAGGGCCGGTCAGAAGGTAGGGCGGGTTGACGGATCACGGGACTGTAACAATAAAAGGTGGATGATGAACATATGTGAGGATAATACGGGGATTGGCGTGAAGGAAGGTCATCAATCGCATAATTTTCAATGGGCTAATGTTGTCTGCATTGATGCTGCGTCTGTAAATTGTGATTTTCGCTAACATTGTGTAAGTTCGTCTCTGTTTAGTGTGCCCCTAGTGTGTGGCGACGGACTATAAGCCATGTTCTCTATATAAGATGTTCTCTATAAGCCGGAATGCTGATGGTGCGTTGACCCGACGGCGGTTCTGTTCGCAGTGGGGCTGCTGTTCAAAAAGCTGGGGTGCACCGTGAACGGACTCTCGCGAACGGAGAAACCCGCCGATGACGCATTTGACAACATGTTGTAAGTGTTGAACTGGGGTGGTGGCTGGGGCGGTGGCTGAGCCTTCTTATCGCGATATGCGCTCACACGGTTAACGTGTTTTGTTCATTAGTTTCCAGCTAATCAGTATGTTACCGATCGTGTTTTGCTACATATCACAAATGAATGTATAGATGTTTACTGGGTGAGCGATCCTGAGCATTGGGCACGTTTTTAATCCATCATCTCATTGTTTACCATCAACTTACAGTTTACACCCATTGAGTTAGACACAGAGCCAACACACCAACAGCCGAAGAGCGCTACCCTCTACTGGCAGCTATTGATAGCCGTCTGACCCCTCCCCCCCCCCCCGGCAGCACGTCCGACCGTCTCTCGGAGTTCCTGCGCTCTGCCGACTACCTGTGCAGCGTCTTGCCGAGCACCCCGTCCACCCGGCACCTACTGACCGCCGCCCGGCTGGCCGACCTGCCCCGCCGACCGGTGCTCGTTAACGCCGGCCGCGGAGACCTCATCACTGAGCGGGAGCTGGTGACGGCCCTGCGCGCGGGCTCGCTCTCCGGCGCCGTGCTGGATGTGTTCGAGACAGAGCCGCTGCCCGCGGACAGCGAGCTCTGGGACATGGAACAGGTGGGCGGAGTGGACATGACGTCACTAAATCCGGCGTTACCTTCACGTACCGCGTGTGACAATAGCCGGTGTGAGCCATCGCCCCTATAGATTAGGGCACACATGCCTGCATGTTAGACTATCTATGTTTGGTATTCACCTGTGTAACCTTGATGTGTGTGGTCTTTGCCGAGTGTTACCCTACTTCCTTATGTCTTCACCTGACATGTTGAATTAACCTGTGTGACATTGTTAGCCCTTTACGTGCCTCATCACCGTGTGACATTCACACATATATAATCCCACGTCTGCGCCTCCCCAGGTAACCATTTCGCCGCACGTGGCCAACCTCAGTCGTCCGGAGCTGGTATGTGCCGCCTTCCTGGAGAACCTGGAGCGGTTCACTGGCGGCCGGCCGCTGCTGCATAGGGTCGAGTGGGACCGCGGCTACTGAGCCAGACGGGAGGTGAGGGCGCCAGTCGACCTGACAGGGAGGTGAGGACACCAGCCGGCTGGGTAGGGGTGAGGGCGCCCGCCGGCCGGCCAGGGACGGGTGGGAGCGGGTAGCTGATGTCTGGTGCGGTATATGGCGGCCCCAGGTACTTTGAAAGAGGTTATTTAGGCGAGATTGAAACGTAGTAGCGAATTGATGGTATTGGTCAGGCGACGTGGGAAAGAAGGAAGCTTGTGGTTGAGTGGGGAAGATATCCGCGGATCGGGTGTTACAAGAACATGGCGACAAGCCCGAGCTATTGCCTGCGAACGAAGCACAGTTTATGTCCTTACGTGACTTTATTGGCAGATGCTGGTTCGTTGTTGGGATTTGTACTTGATGGTACGTTTAGTGCTTGACTGCCTGTTGTACTCGTGAGTAAATGTTCTGGCCTGGCATACCACCGCCTGGGCCGGGTCGTTGGTAATGGCATTGGGCAGTGATACGCTTAAGGGATGGCTGGTAACCCTGCATACGCAATAGTGAGCAATGGAGCACCATGTTTCATAAGATAATATAGATGCCCATTGCTCTTTTATATTTGTAGGCATGTGTGCCAACCTGACTGTAAGTTAAAATACGTTTTCTGCATTTGCCGTATTATAACTGTCTAACAAATGTTAAGAAAACAATATTTTGAATGTGCAATAAATTGCGATGACTTTTTAACTCCGAATCTTGGGGAAAGACCTTTTTAACATTCAACCTACGTCCTACGACATAGCAGAACGTAGGTATGCACGTGCTACATAGCTATATAAAAAGCCATAGTGCCTTTTTATAACAGTCTGCTTTATTGATGTTTACATAATTTGCACAAAACATTGTGTGGTGCAGCGGGAGCTAAGCAACATCTCAACATTCACTGCAAGATGGCGCCGAAATATGTATGATAAAAATTAAAAGACTCGCTGCGTGTTTACCATATGCTATTGCTATGCTACTGTAGTGCAGCACGAGTTCTCACACAGCGCTGATGCATATAAAAATGGACGCCCTGTCACAATGCGATATCCTGCATCGCAACTACCACACTGCTCAAACTCAAACTCCGCCCATAGGAAACTGAATCAGGCCCCAAAGCGCAACACAAAACTTGCGACCCTACAGTAAAAATATCTACGAGCTCATGATTCACCCCTTAAGCGCTCGTAAAAACTTGGCTCGTGTGTTTGGTTTTGAATCTCGATTATTGCATATGTGATAATCGAGATTCAAAACCAAACACTTTCAACACTCATAGTGATGCCAATGATTTGAAGAAAGCTTGTGATAATTGCGCTCACTAAGCTCTACATGTCCGATCCAGTGATAACGACTATAGTCTGTTCCATATCAAGCTTGCAGTCGGAGTTTCTACGGCAGATCGCTCCTCCGCTCAACAATTTATGTCTTAAAATGTAAGTAAGAGCTGTATATACAGAAATCACGCACTGCTTTCAGCAGGGCACTTCGGCTGCAAACTTGAAACGGAACAGAGTATAGGCTGGCGCACCAAACGCGCCAAAGCGTTTTTAATTGATCACGGAGCGCTGATCCAGAACCAAGCTGCATCACAGCTTTCCCAGCTGCACTCAGCCCCCACGCCGAGCGTTCACTGGGCTGGCACCGCAACACTTTGTCCCTGGGGCAGCAACCAACTCGCAAAGGCTTATCAAAATCACCTCATCCACGAGCGGCGGCAAAAAGGCACAAACATATTGTGACCAGAGTTACAAAACGACCACACCCTCACCGGATCACACCCTCATCACACGCAATGATTAAATTGTTTTCACTCGCCTCAGACTGTCGCCTCGAGGCGTTTTCACCGCTTCATAAAACTACGAGTTTCTCGCATCATCAGCACTACCAAAGGCACTCGATGATCACGCGTCCGGCTGTGACCTCTGGTGACCTCATTAACCGTGACCGCTATGGTGACCTCAGGTTAGTTTTGAAGGCTTTAGCGACCTCAGGCTCACTGTGACCGCTATGGTGACCTCAGGTCAGTTGTGACCGATAAGGTGATCCCGGGTGACCTCTGTATGTAGTGACCCGGGGCCAGCTGTTACCTTCGGGTAAGCTCAGGTCATATGACCGCTATGTTGACCCCGAAGTCAGCCGTGACCGTCGGGTCAGCTCAGGTCATGACCGCTGAGAATCCATACCCGGTGGGCGCGTACTGCAGCGAGCTTTCGGTGCTGAAGGGGATGAAACCCTCCTGTTCCGTGTCGGCGGAGCTGGTCACGGGCCGTTTGACTGGTTTGGTGTTGCCGCGGAACTGGAACACAAACTGCAGCTCGCGGCTGATCTCCGTCAGCAGAGGCACCTGGCGGCGGGCGGGCGAAACACAGTGGCGTCAGATAGGTCAAAGTGAACGCCCCGGATCTGGCACACAGTGCAACCGGGAAACTGCCGACTGAAAATACTTTCAAGTCACATTATTTTACTTGATATTGTGATAGAAGTGGCTGCTAAAGGCGCCGACACTTATCCTACCCAACAGTAGACAACTACCGAATTGATTCGTAATGTAGGTACTGTGTGATGCACCGCTTCATTTCAGCTGAGTTGATCAGGAGGCCTCATATCACCTTCAATCTTATTCGGATAGTAGGTACCCAGCCCCCTGGACAATTCTCACCCGTTCTTCCCGGCTGGTTTTGTAGGCCTCCAGCACAAACTCGGCTATACTGACCATGGTGGCCACACAGAGACCGAGCACCAGACACACGAACACGCCGCCCACGTTCTTCAGCGACAGCGGGGCCGTGGCGGTGCTCTCCTTGGCCTGGCGAGAGGAGGAATGGAGTGAATGGGAGCACGGGTGACTAGTGTAGGGGCGTCACCGATCTGGTACAGCGGCAGGATGTCTGCTATGGGTGGTGGTCAAACTCAATGTTTTGGCCGTTTCGGCGGCTCTTTGCTTTTTAATTAGTGGGCAGTCTTGCAGGCAGTAGAACATTGTACCTACACTTATAAATTCGGACCTTATCATATTTTTTTTTTTTAATTCAAGTTCACATACTCCCGAGACTGAGAGGGCAATTGTTGACTTGGTCCTCAAATCACATTTGACAGCACACGTCACATCACACTTGACGCCTTTAAACAGCACAACTGACGTCACCAAGCGACCCAGCTGACGTCACAGTTGAACTCACGTCGCAGTTGACTCCCCCGGTCTCTCCCTTCCACCACTTGTGCTTCAGCTTGGAGAGGTAGCCCTCCTCCTGCAGCTGGATGATGGTGACGCTCAGGTCAGAGGCCTGGATCGGCGACTCTGAAACGATCGATAGCAACACTAAGATCAGAGGTCTGAATCAGTTACTCTGAAACGATCGGATGGGAGTGGAAGGGAGCGAAGTCATATGTCGTGACGGCCTTGTGGCAAGGATTGCGCAGCGTGAATAGCGTATGGGAGAAAATATGGCCGCATTTCTCTGGACATCAGCGGCATTGGCAATCGCGGTTCAAGTTCGATGTTCAAGGCAAGTTCGATGACCTCCTCCGTTGTCTGACTCACGGGGTCCGACGCCGATGCCGTAGCCCTTGTTGTCGAGCAGACCGCCGACCTGGGTCAGCTGACAGCGGCGCGCTACGTAGTACTCGATCGACGACGACTCCATGAAGTAGGCGAACTTGCCGTTGGCCTTGATGACGCTGTTGATGCCGTCCTCGTCGCTGGCTCGGAACTCCTCTGTGCTGTTCATCACTTCCCACATCTCCATGTAGGGCTCCACCTTGGAGCGCCTGCCGCAAACGGGTGCCGTGGTCAACCATGCAGCGATCCATGAGTCAGCCATGATAAAAATCACACTACAATCAAACCCAGATATCTCAACATTTGTAAACAATCGAGCTTTTTAGCGGTGAGTCAGACCAGACAAAAGCGAGGATGGACGCTTTACACGGCTCTCGCAACTCATTCATCAGCGCGAATGGTGTCCACAATGCATTCCCAATATAGACCAATTCCTTCCGTAATCCGTCATCCCGAGCCCCGGCGCCGCGTCACTCACTTGAAAAAGTCGGCCGTGGAGCCCTTCTCGTAGAGCCCGTACTTGATGTGTTTGTTGCGCGGCTTCACCAGGTCGCCGACGCTCTCGATGGGCGAGTACCGCGTCTCGATGGTGAGGAAGGCGGCCAAGTTGGCCGTGTAGGAGGAGATCATGATGAGTGTGAAGCCCCACCAGATGCCGGCAATCATGCGGGTCGACATGGCCCTGGAGGGGTGAGCGAACGAGGAGGCTGGAGTTACAGAACTGGCAGCGAGGAAAGGGGAACGAAAAGCTGGTAATACGATGGTGAGCTTTATAAAAACTGAAACCCTCGGCGTTCGACAGAACAGAACTAATTGCGTACCAGGAGACAACAGACTGATCGATCGAGACAATAATTTAGGAATTAGGTAGATATAACAATTTTTGATGTTTCAACATTCAACAATGTCAGAATAGGTCCTTTTCTGCAACTTCGAGGTGTTTCCTCCTGCTTCAATTTTCAAATAACCTTACGTCGTATATATTATCGGTAGACGGTAACCATGTTTTGTAGCCTTTTAAGTGTATTTGATGTTGCTGATTTATGCGTGTCAAAAATATTTTTTCAATGCAAGCTGTTCATGTCCAAAGTCCGTAGATTGTAGACGTTTTAGGATTATCTGCTCTCGGGAGAGAAAGCTATAACTATATTGCATGTTTTGGACTGTTCATCGTGCCAAAATAATAGTATTTCGGATTTATCAATCTCATTCTTATATGGCTGGAAAAACAATTTGATTGTGATTTGTGGGTATCATAACTTTGCGAGGTATACATTTCTAGCTTGCTGTCTGTGTAAATAAATGACAGTTATTTGTTATGGCACAGATAACAGTAGTACTGGATTGGAAACAGGATTCCGGTGGCTGCAGTAAGAGGCCGAAAACAGAACCGAATATTTCGTGCCTAGACTTCGATATCTCCTCTCACAGGCAACAAAAAAAAATATTGGTTTATGTGAATGAAACTTATAAAGAAGCAATCTAGCCGTGCTCGTGTTTATTGTTGCATTTTTGCATAATGGCAACTTATTTTACTAAACGTTGCTGCACTTTCCTCACCGTAGTGAGGGAACGTATGCCACTGATTTGATTATAATGATTCCTCACTCTCATCCACAAAAAGCACTTTTACATGTGAGTTTGCTCTCTTTATTTACATGCTCATCGACACCAGTCCTGTCACAACGAGCCATCCAAACGTCACAATTCAAACCAACGTCACAAAACACCCCTTCAAGTGTCACTTCGCTTCGCCTGCCCTCCCAATTTTATCAGCGACCTTACTTCCCCGCCTTACATCTTCTTGACCCTGCTGAACTTTGGCCTCTTGTCGCTCCTCGATCGGGTTGCACCAGTGGCTGGGGTGTCTGCTTCCTGACTTTCGATGGACAGCACTGTCTTGAGTGTCTGTCTCACTTATCAGTTACCATGTTTCCACACTTTCCAGCAAATAGATTGAAGACCGTCGCATACATCTCTGGAAGGAGGCTCCTAACGACGTCGTGGCTATGATTGCAAACGAGTTCCGGTCAGTTCGACATCCCGTTTTACGACTATCTTCGTCACTTCTGCGTCACTTCTTGGTTGATCGCAGACCAGCAGCTGGTTCCTGTTAGCTTCCGTCTTCGGCAGTTGCCTCCAAATATGGCAGATCCTTACGATGAGGTCGATGTCTTCCTCGTCTTTCTCCAGTCGTACCTCCAGCGGCGTAGCCCCATGATAGATCAGCACGCTGGCGGAGGCAACGTTACTTGTCACGCCTGGTGGCCGAGCGTGCCAAGGCGCCGGAGCTGTGTCCCAGGGAGGCCTTGGCGCTGTCATCCAGGTCCTCCATTTCAGTGGATTTCGCCACCGCGGCCACTAGCTCCTGGATGACAAGAGCACCATCCTGCTGTCACTCCTGCTGTGATGGTGCCATTCGGGCGGAGGCGTCGGCGGGGCTGAAACGTGACCAGTGACCACCATCTGAGGCCCTTAATTCGACTTTGGAGTACCGCCTCATTCTCCGGGAACTGTCGGACACTCGACCAGTTGTAGTTGCCACCTGATAGCTGATATTGTCATTCGTGAAGAACGCATCGGTCTGGCCCTTCATAACCTGCTTCTGGTGTGAGTGGCGTGCGTATGCCATGGCTGGTTTCGCTGGCCGCTCGTGCACAGGGGGCATCGCGTAATCCACGCTGGTTAATACTGACAGGACTGCGCCGCTCTTGAGCCGACGGCGCTGTCTCTGCATGCCGGTGCGAAATGACCGATCATCTTCGAAATCTTCCTTTCTGAAATGCAGCTCACACACAGCGGAATAGTCCTGATCCCACTCAGCCCGGTCACGGTGACCCATGGCGCCAACCCACTGAGCCCGTAGAGATGTTTCGGTGAGAGAAGCGAATAGGTGGCATGTGAGACATCTCTTGTTCCTCTTGGTTCGTTGGGTTGTAGCCAGAACGGCACTTTTTTACCGCTCATTCCCCTCCTCCATTGTTGATGTACCTAGGTATACGTATGTAAGGCTTTGCACCACAATTTTTCAAAAGAAAACACCACGCATTGTGCCCTCTAAATGATCAAATTAAAAGTGAAATACTTTAAGTTTTAAGCAAATGAAAGTAACATTGGTAGCTTCGATTTTAAATGTAAACGACAAAACACAAAAATGACGATTTCTTGCAATACACAACATTCATTCATTTATTCACAAATTATCCATTCAGCTGCACGCGAGAATCCCATTTTGGCGCCGTCGCATAAAAACATTCGGCCTCTTACTGCAACTGCCAATATTCTGTTTCCAATCCAGTACTACTGTTATCTGTGGTTATGGTTATTTACCCTGCACTACAACAGGTTAGGACACGTATCTACCAATAAAAACTGCTTCAACAGCCGGCGACTGCGCTAATATTGCGTCTATTACGGCGCGCTCCATGCTCCGAGAGGCACCGAGCCGTTTTCTGGAGCAACGACTCGGCGTTTGCCAGCTCCCGATTAACCCGCGCACCGACGGGGGTCTGCGCCAACTTAGTACCGACGGGGGGGGGGGGGGGGGGCGGATGACCGCCCCCCCTGAGATCTCGAGAACGAAGCAAGATAGCGACAAGCGGTAAACGGCATCGGATACGCACGGTCAAGATCTACAATTTTTACAAAGGTCATTTTCAGGTCAGGTCAAAGATGACGTCACAGGGGTCGAAAAAGTCAAAATGGCGGCGCTAAATATGGAGAGAGTTTTTCTCGAATAACTTTCGAATTAGTCAAGATAGGAACAAACTAAGGGCATCATCGTGATCCTCTCGTCAATCCGCATCGAATGATATATATGTTGACCTCGAAAGGTCAAGGTCAAAGGTTGACCTCAGGTCACGTGACCTCGAGGTCATCATGTATATCATTCGATGCGTCTTGACGAGCTGAACACAATGAGACCATCCACGCGTCTGCATCTTGTTCCTGTACGGAGTTATTGGCCAAAAACCTTTGGTGACCTTTGATGACGTCACATGACCTCACACCTGCCCAACAGCAAAACAGACCTCAAGGTAGTGCAGGTTGATCGTATATGAAGTCATGTATGGTATATGGGGCCATTCCGACCCGTTTTAGTGGTAAAAACAGGGAGTTGATTTTTCCCCCATTGACTTATAATGGGGAGGTCGCGAAATTGACCTGACCTTAGGTCACCGATATCAAAATTCCGAGATATACAAATTGTAGCTACTAATGACCTAATAACATCCTGCGACTTTCAAAGGCCTCCGACATCTACTGTAGCTCTGGCACGGTGACAAAGTTGCAAAAAAGTGACTTGAGGTTGGGTCATTCAAAGTGACCTGGTGACCTGACCTTGAAAGGTAGGGGGTTCAAACTTGCACACCATGTGTAAAATTGATAAGGGAATAGTCATACCAAATTTCGCGGCGCTACGCGCCGCGGTTTTCCCGCTATTCGCAAAAAACCTCAGGGGGGGGGGGGGGGGCGGATATCCGCCCCCCCCCCCGTCGGTGCGCGGGTTAAGGCCTTCAGTTTACTGCGGTGCAGACATGCAGTTTACCTGTGACGGCACATAGACACTCGCACACGCACACACGTGACGTCACACACACACGGGAGAGATGACGTCACTGGCCGGTGCTAAAAACGCGCTGCCACTCCCTCTAGTCATCACGAACTGTTAGCAGCCGCTCATTCTGGGCTGGATCCTCTTACTTGGGCGCAATATCGGACCCCTGCTGCATGAGCGAACCAATGGCAAACCAGAAGCTGTTGCGCGTGGTTAGAATGTTCTCGAGCTCCTCGGGCTCGTCGTCGCAGGGGTGCGGGTTCTGCCACTCGTAAGGACTGAATCTGCAACACGCGGTACGGGTCAGAGCTGGTCGGTCCAGTCCGGCCCGGTCCATCTCTCCCCCGAGACTGCCGCTGCTCCTCCGTCCGTCTGTAAACAATGGGAGGTCAGCGCATCAGCCGCGGCGGCCGGGAGCGATGACTTACTTGGGCAGGATGTCGGATCCCTGCTGCATGACCGAGCCGCAGCTGAACCAGAAGCTGCTGCGGATGCCGAAGCTGTTGGTGAGCGTTGTCTGGTCGGCGTGACAGGGGTGCGGCACCGTCCACTCGAACGGACTGAACCTGCGGAACACGGACTGAAACGGACTGACATGGACTGACCGAAATTGTGCAGACTGAGACACACGCTGAGACTGACTGCCAAACGGATTGAAAGACACCGACACGGACTGGCACGGGCTGACATGGACTAAAGGAGACTGACTCGGACTGAAAGAGACGCTAATCGACTGACACGGACTGACACCTTTGATTAAACCGGACTGATTTAAACCTATACGGACTGACACGTATTGACACAATTTTACTTTGTCTCAGAGGAACTGAGACAGTCTGACATGGACTGAAACCGACTGAGACGGACATTACATCGATGGAGACGGGATGTAGGTACTGTGGATGCTAGCATGTAGTTATTCGGTTTTCTTGAATGAGAAGGGCATGAATAAGCATGGGTATAAGCAAATGTTTTTTTTCGAAGTCATCATTGTACGGTACGCTATCGTATGCGTTTTGGGTTTTCATATACCCATGGTATACGATATGCAGCATTCTTGAAACATCTGAAGAAAACAAAGTGAGCCAACAATGAAGAGGTAAGAAAAGCGGCTTGTTAGAGGTGAACGTGTTTACATTCACGAAACATTTATGCCAGTCGAGCTCGTCGGACCGCACTTATGTTTAGATAACTGGTCGGAAAAGTATCAAAGGATCTGAATTTATTGCCGGGTTGGCGTGCTACCTACAGCGAGAAAGAGAGAAGGGGCCACGAAGAAAAATAAATAGAGAAAGAAAGAGAGAGAGAGAGAGAGAGAGAGAGAGAGAGAGAGAGAGAGAGGGGGAGGGAGAGAGCCAGGGCATTCCAGACCTTGTTTCACTAGAGTTGTTCATTGGAAAAATTATGAAGTTATCGTCGCCCAGATGGCCCAGCCGCCCAGTTGACCAGTATCAGGCCAGCTTGGGTCTCTGCTGGCCTTTGACAGACACTATGCACGGAATCGCGGGGTCATGTCAGTTCAAGACGTGCTGTGCTGTGAATTTGATCATTGCCTACAGCAGGAACTTCCGTGACCATTGAACTGAGCCCCCTGACCTACACTGAACGCTTGCGAGTGACACGACCTACCTGGCGAGGACGAACATGAGCAGCGACACGCCCACCATGGCCATGCCCATGTAGGCCCACACCTCCTTGGAGAAGGGCGCCAGAAACGAGAACAGCGACGGCGGCTGCTTGGAGGGCTTGGTGTACACCATGCTGATACCTGGCGGTGCGCCACATGTGCGTCATCGTCATCGTCATCATCATCATCATCATCATCATCATCATCATCATCATCATCATCATCATCATCATCATCATCATCATCATCATCATCATCATCATCATCATCATCATCATCATCATCATCATCATCAGCCGCTCACCTAGACTCATCCACTGGGTGGTGAAGTTGATGGCCTTCCCTCTCGTAGCCGTTATTGTCAGGTCAGCGATGGCAAGATGCGCTTTCTGAAATCACAGGAAGCGTCACCAAAGGCGGAATATCCCCCGCTTCCCAGCCTCCTCGTGTCCCTCCCCGCTCACTGGCTTCTCTCGTGTCTTACCCCTCTCACCAGCCTGTTCTTACTCTCATCCCTCTCGGCCAGTCAGTCTCAGTCTCCTAACTCTTACAGCAGCCCCCTTCTCTCTCTCGCCATCCCACCATCCTTCCTCTCTCGTCCTCTCACCAGCCTTTCATTTCTCGCCTTATCGTCGCCACCTCCAGTCGCTCACTGTTTTACTAGCCCTCCTTCCCTCTCATCCTTTCACCCCCCCCCCCCCCCCTGTATCTCACCCCGCTGAGGAGGTCTCCGATCATGCCGTTCCAGCGGCCCTCGCTGTCCGGCTTCCCGGCGGTGCCCTCCGGGTTGACGATCAGCGTGTAGTTGAAGTTGTGGATCTCGGCGAGCCTGTCCATCAGCTCCACACAGATCCCCGTGTAGCGGTCGTTTCCGTGCTTCTGGTCCGAGGATGGCTTGAGCATCGTGTATGGCGGCTTCTGCGGGTCGGTGGAGGGAGAGGGAGGGAGGGAGAGAGAGAGAGAGAGAGAGAGAGAGAGAGAGAGAGAGGGGGACAGCGTGAGCCTGGCAGTAGATATAAGGCTGGATAACGGGCTGGTTGTTTTGAGAACATGCTGCTCATGTTATGAGTAGTAGGGACCATCACATGCATTTTCCACGTTTTTATGCATTTTCCACGTTTATATTTCGCCAACGAATGGTCTCACAGGCTCTATAACTTACCATGACTGTGGTGACGATGATGGTTTGATTTTTCCTGTTGATGATCTCTGCCAGGTCGAAGTTCATGGTCTCTATGCCGCTTGGCGACCACGATCCAATCTTTACCTGTAATTGGCGCCGGTTGGATGTTACAATGCTAGGTATTTGGGAAAATAACACCTACTAGGCACAAGCCGTTTCCCTGAAAAGTTCCCTGTGATAAATTTTTGTCTACTTAGTTGAAAGAAAATGGCGACATTGAAAGCGCATGTATGGATGTTCATAATCATTGGGTATGCGCGTTTATAATTCAGCAAAAGTTGCATATCTGCGCGTTTGTTAGTCAGCAGAAGTTACATATTGCATTTTTTACTTACCAGTGCGGGCTCCTGGAGCTGGATGATGTCCAATTGAAACGAGCGCCTCAGTCCGCCCGAGTCGAACGAAACGTGTCCCGTCAGACCATCAAACTGAACCTGTAAAATGGAGCACATGCCATTTAAACTGAACCTGTGACGAAGGGTGAAAACCGTAAGTGGGCAGCATGAGCAGCAGAGCTCATTTCAAGCTCGACCTCGTTAGCCAAGTCGTTTGTATCTGCCTGCTGTCAGAACACCGTGTTTCTGTAATCGTTCCTGGAGCGGCCGAAGATCTATGGCTGCCTGCGCTGAGTTCAATTATTTGGTGCGTTCGTCCGTACCAAACCCATCCCTGCACTATGGCTGCCTGGGCGCGCCCGTGCGACATGACCGGGAGTGGGTCGGCCACGCGGCCCGCGCCAGTCATTGACCTGGGAGGCATGAGAGCGGGTCATGTTTTGAGACGGACAGTGTGCGCAGTGGTGCATTATTCAGGGAGTGAATTGCTCACCGCCGACAAGTGACATAATGCTCTGCGTCATCGACGTCTGCTGTGAACTCCAGCAAGCTCCTGCACCACCATTTGCAGCTAAGTCCTGGCACCCGCCACTTCAACTACGAAGTAGTTGGCCCGCACCTGCAGCAGGTAATTGATGAGCGTCTCTCCGTGCTTCCAGGCGCTCTGGGTGCCACAGTCCAGCGGCTCTCTGCTGACGTTGAAGCTGCCCGGCCCGCCGGAGCCGTAGAGGCTGTCCAGCGCTCTGGCCAGCAGCTCGACGGCGTCCCAGGTCAGGGCGGCCTCCGTCTGCGGGGTCAGGGCAGGTCAGGGTGGCCTCCGTCTGCGGGGTCAGGGATCAATGCCAGGTCAGCGCGGCCTCCGTCTGCGGGGTCAGGGCAGGTCAGGACGGCCTCCGTCTGCGGGGTCAGGGCAGGTCAGGGCGGCCTCCGTCTGCGGGGTCATGGATCAATATCAGGACAGGGAGACCTCCGTCTGTAGAGACAAGGTCTGTAGATAACGCTGCCCACTGTGTGCCGGGAGAGGATCTAGTGTTAGGTCAGCATGGCCTGCGAACTGACCTCAGTAACTCAATGATATGTGTATGACTAGATAAGTGATTTTTTTTTTTTAATGTAAAGGTATTGAATTTGAAGACGTCTTATCAACTACAGTGACATTTACTGTATTCACTATTGCATGTCCCCTTATGCTGCTACAAAATCGCTGTCTAACATCCATCCACATAATATGACGTTAGACAGTATAGACACCGCAGTTTCTGCCCGTCCGCCCGCTCTCTCACGGTGAGTTCGGCGGACGGCGGCAGGTATAAGGATCCTGGAGCCACCGCCGCCGTCGGCCGCACCAGCCGCAGGCCGGTGATGTTGCTCCCGCTGTAGAGGAAGTCCTCCAGGGGCAGCGTGTGCAGGTCCTAGCAACACGAGGGGAGGGATAATCGGTCCGGGCTCACACACGGGGTTAACATCACTTAAACAGATACAATCTGCCGAGTGGCGCACCATGATAATACCTTCAGTTTATGATAGGTACGCGATAGGCTCCTAAAAAGTCTTCGATCTTCACCTTCACCGAAACGTATAAGTTTGAGCTGTGGGATACCCAAATGATGACATAAGAGACTTGCGTGACACCATCCAATCGACCAAGCGCCGTCGCCAACTTACCAGAGACGTAATGAAGTACGAGTATTTTTGGATGATCATCCCAACCATCTGGGCGTGCTTCAGGAACTTCAGCACGTTATCTCTGCTGCAGGCGACCAGAAAGTTGACTGCACCTTCGTCCCGCAGTTTGCGCAGCATGTGACTGAAACAAATCACAATTTGTGTACCGATTAAACGCTCCACAGTTCACTTCGTGGCAACTGATGCTGTGCCGCAATAAGTCTATGTCTTGCGGCATAGTATAACGAACGGTGTAGTGAAATAGCCATTCTCCTTCTCGGTTTTATACTACATTGTGCCTGTGTGGCACTGCGCGGCCAGTATTATTTTACACAAGGCGTGCGCAAGGAAACAATTAATGATGTAACATTTACCACTTGCTATGTAAATAGCAGCAATCAGCATATATATGTCGACACATAGGTACAAACGATTACGAATGCGTGCGCATGTCCTATCGGTACACTTTTTGTTTACTTTGCGCTGTCTTCCACGACAAAGACAATCAAAACAAAAAGCAGCAGATGCCTAATTACCTTAGCGAGTTTGGCACGCAAAGTGCTTCGGTGACAGGTGTGGAGAAGGAAATCATGGCCTCCCACTCCCCGATGGAGGCCCCAATTCCCTATCTTGTCTAGACTCTCTTTTTCTCCGTCTGGCTCACTTCTGTCTTCCGTCTGGGTGTCTGGGGCGCCCAGCAACACGGGACCGTCGGCTCTTGGCCGTCGGCCACCCGGTCACGTGACGGCGTCCCGACACCCCATAAAAACCTATGTTTCTGTGAATACACCACTCACTTCTCCGCCACCGTCTTTGCCGGACGCAGTGCCGGACCCGTCTCCGAGGGCGGTCTAATCAGCCGTCCGAAACTCGTTTTGTACTAAATCCCGCGAAATGTGAATTCATGAAAACTCAGATAAAATATTTGGGTTTCATACTAGACAAACATGGAGTTCGTCCAGATATATCCAAATTGCAAGCAGTTCAAGACTTTCCAACACCAAAAGCTGTGAAAGATGTTCGTGCCTTTCTTGGCTTTGCAAATTACTATCGTAGGCATATTCCAAAAATGTCTGAACTTGCAGCTCCTTTAGTCCACTTGACAAAGAAAAATGTTGAATTTATTTGGTCTCAGGAATGCGAAGATGCATTCTCATCAATCAAAGAATCGTTAGTGAAGTATCCTGTGCTGAGATTCCCGAACTTTGAAAAAGATTTTTACTTATCTACAGATGCAAGTGACTTTGCCATTAGTGGCGTATTGGAACAAAAATATGGTGATCATTTTCACCCCATTGCTTTTATTAGTCGACAGCTCAACAAAGCTGAAAGGAATTATTCAACCACAGAAAAGGAGTGTCTTGCAATTACTTGGTCATTTGACAATTTGCGATGCTATCTCTTAGGTCATTTTACTCATATCATGACTGATCATTTACCATTGAAAGGTATTTTCAAGTCGACTAACCCTGGTGGTCGTCTAACCAGGTGGTCTTTGAAATTAACAGAGTACGATTTTGATGTCACTTATGTCCCAGGAAAGTTAAATGTCAAAGCAGATGTCTTGTCTCGTATCAAAATAGATTCACAAACCAAGACGGACTTTCTTGGTCATGTTGCCGCAAATGCCATCAAAAGTGAAGGCTGGACAAGAGAAAAGATCAAAGCAGAACAACGCAAAGACCCAGATCTGATACCGATCATCGACCGTCTCGTCAAACCGAAAGCTAAAGGCCCCGATCTGAAGCTACATGAACCTCTTTCAAATTTTTTCCTGAGTGCAGATGGTTTACTTTACCACGTAGCCACCCAAAACAACAAAACTCGTCCATTTATGGATCAGCTCGTGGTCCCATATACTATGAAAAAGCTGATTGTTCAAAGATTCCATGATACCATTTGGTCGGGACACCTCAAATTTGAAAAGACTCTTTCCAAAATTCGACTTCAATTTTATTGGAGACACATGTACACTGATGTCAAAAAGTACGTAGAATCATGTCGCTTGTGCATGGAAAGAAGCGCTCATAAATCCATCAAACGTGCACCATTACAACGCACGATGACACCTGAGCACCCCATGCACATCTGTAGTTTTGATATCGTTGGTCCACTAAAAACAAGCTATCGTGGTAATTCATACTATCTCTCTTGGATAGAACATTTTTCAAGATGGCCTGAGGCAATTCCATTGACCGCTACTGATACTACTACAGTGGCCAAAGCATTCGTTGAAGGAATCATTTCTCGACACGGCATCAGCAAATATTTACTTAGTGATCGTGGTTCCAATTTCACATCAAAGCTCATGAAAGAAATTTGCAAACTTTTAGGAACAAAACAACTTTTCACTACTCCCATTCACCCGATGGCCAATGGCCGTGTGGAAAGACTGCATTCAACAATCGGCAACATCCTATCTCATTTTGTAGATGAAACTCAGAAAAATTGGGATGAAGTTTTGCCCTTAGCGCTTTTGGCGATTCGTAGTTCCGTGCATCGATCAACAGGTGATACACCTGCCCAAATTTTTACGGGTCGTGATATATCTTTACCTTTTGACGTAGACTCCAAACTTCCTCATGACCCGTACCATTCGATAGACTCATATCGTGATCTTCTAATTCGGCATTTAACAACATTGCATGAAACTGTTCGTGAAAACAACGAATCTGCGATCCAAGCCCAAGAACGGTCACATCCCACACAATCGAGTCCAATTACGTTCAAACCAGGGATGCTGGCATATTTACATCACCCAAGTTTCAAACCAAATTTAACGCGAAAACTTCAAAAAGTTAACCGCGGCCCATATCGTATCCTCGACATGACGAGCCCGGTTAACGCCAAAATTCAACATTTGTCCAATATCGGAGACATCCAAACGGTCCATATAAATCGTCTTCGAAAGTTTGAAGAAGACGACCCGTTTCACACCTGTGTAGACACACCATCTCTCAGCAATGACTCTACCATTCGTTCCGTGCGTAATGCCTCAAAGAGCAGTAACACCGGTGCGCGTCCGCCCGTTACACTGCCGGCAAAGCCAGGGACGTTGGAGGCTCCTTCTGACGAGAATGTGCTCGACCAGGGTGATATTGCCCGGCTGGAGGAGGACTGGCGTATTTATCACGCAGACCACCGTGAGGTTCCCCAGGCTGATCACCTGCGGTATAACCTCCGGCCTCGCACAAATATACGCCCTCCAGACCGCTATGGCAATTGAGAAGCCAACTGATGGCTACATGGTGACTGAGATCCCATGAAAGTTGTTGCGCTAAGAAGGTTGATGGTTATCCCTCGCGCCTATACACCAGCGAAACGCTGAAGGCTACATGGTGACTGAGATCCCATGAAAGTTGTTGCGCTAGTAGGTTGATTGTATATCCCTCGCGCCTATACACCAGCGAAACGCTGAAGGTGTACTGGAGTACACAAGCAATTGCCCTTTCATATCTAGTAGCGCTACATCTGCATTGTATATATAAGCATCCACTGTACATAGTATGTCAGATGAATGAATCTTTGTATGATGATTACCAAAGAATATGTTGTTGCTTGCTGTTGTCATCAATTCTTTGCATATGTTGCAATGCCAAAAACGTCTTGATACTGACACATTAGCCCTGTTTCTTTTTCAGGATCTCACTTCTTGTGGCGGAGCGAGTGCAGCGTCAAAAAATACCCGAAGACAGCATGCATCTCGTTACCTATCATACTAACCATCGGTTAAGTTATACGATTGGCCAACTAAACCGACCAGAAGGTTATTCTACAATATTAACCCTAGTTCTTATTAAATCTATTTATTTAAAACAGTTAAGTTGATAAACTGCAGTATCGAAAGGTTGTCATTGTCGTGAAATCAGTTGTTATTTTGCTTGTATGCCCTCCCAAGCACACAATTTCATGGGTATGACGCCCCTAGGTGCACTCGTTCGCAAGACGCCACTCTGCAAAAGGACTTCAAAATCTAATGATTATATTTTTCCCAACAACTTATCAGACCTAACACAATAGTAAGATTTTCCAATAATACTTAACACACTAACCTACTGGCCTCTTCAATTAATTCTTTAAAGTAAGTCACTTGGCAGTATTATTCGGAACCGGTCATTTTGTAAGTCATTGGCTCATTAGCCGCTATTTTTTTCCCCTCGTTCAACTTTTATCATTAACGATCTCTCGATCGAATGACCGGAGGTATTGCCCGTTTTAACAACAATCAAATGTTTTGCCATCTGCTGTGTCAAAAACGTCTTTTCTGTCATTTCTGTCACACCGTCTTCCATGGTCTTCCGCCTCTACAAATGTATATTTCTATGTTACCATGACTGTTATACAACGCAACGGCAAATGTATATTGGTGACACAGCGATAGCACAACATTAAAAAAAACTACATGTGTGTGGATGTGGATGTTTGTTTACAGACTTACGGAAAGTAGTTCTGACTGTTGACGGATCCGAATGTTTGTGACTATCGTAGTCAATGGGTCCGTGGCACACCTGGGTAACCAACACAACAGAGGTGTCATACAGAGATCTGTCTTTTTCTCTCTCCCTCTGTTACCCAGTGTTATGTATGTGCTTTTTGATAAATGTGTTATACATATAATGCCAATGAATGACTGATTTGTTGTATGATGTATGTTTGTATGGGGCATCGTTTTGGCATACTTTGATCCGTTTTCTTTTCTTTCGCAGTCCTTGAGTTTCTGTTACCCATCTGGGAGTGGCCACTATCCGACTCCCCGAGCAGCGACTTCGGAGAAAAACCGATACGCATCACGGTCTGCAAAAGCTGGCTGTTCATAGTCATGATGGGACCGGACGCTCTTCTCCGACCCGTCTGACTGTCTCAGTCGCTCTGCATCTGGTCCACGCAGCATACACTGCAACAGCGGACGCCATCGCCAACTGCAACGGCTCAAACAGTGCCATGGGTCCACTGCCATCGCTTGGCTGACCCACATCACCTGCCGCGGTAACTCTATCTGCTCATCGTTCACCTGCTTCACCTGCTTCGTCTGCTCCATCTGCTCCATCTGCTCCATCTGCTCTGTCCATTCGTCTCGTCACTCTCGTCGGTGCCAGCCGCTCATAACCATGGCTGGGCACCCACCGTCGCCAACCCGTTGTCAGTTCACAACGAAGGCACCAACAACCTCGCTGGCGGTTTACCAATCTCGACAAGCTGACGACTTCCGGCATCCGTGCTGTGCGGCGGCAGCCAACGCCACGCTGACGGTTACGGCGCCCAACCGTCACGGCACTCCATGGCCGCTGCCCCTCACTATCAATGCGGATGTCATCAGCTTCCCGCAGCAGTGTCTGGCGCCTCACACCGACAACGGTTGACCACCACGGCGACGATGACAACAACGACGATGATGGCGAGACAAGCAGCAGCAGCAGCAGTAGCAGCAGCCGCAGTAGTAGCAGCAGCAGCAGCAGCGGTAGCAGCAGCCGCAGTAGCAGCAGCAGCAGTAGCAGCAGCCGCAGTAGCAGCAGCCGCAGTAGCAGCAGCAGCAGCAGCAGCAGGAGCAGCCGCAGCAGTTGTACTTGGCGTCCCGTGCGCGGTGTCATACGTGGATCAATGCAGTTTAGGACCGTGATTGCTTATTGGTCGCCTCCTCTTGTCGGCTTGTTGGGGGAGGAAAGATATGTGGAGAAGGAAATCATGGCCTCCCACTCCCCGATGGAGGCCCCAATTCCCTATCTTGTCTAGACTCTCTTTTTCTCCGTCTGGCTCACTTCTGTCTTCCGTCTGGGTGTCTGGGGCGCCCAGCAACACGGGACCGTCGGCTCTTGGCCGTCGGCCACCCGGTCACGTGACGGCGTCCCGACACCCCATAAAAACCTATGTTTCTGTGAATACACCACTCACTTCTCCGCCACCGTCTTTGCCGGACGCAGTGCCGGACCCGTCTCCGAGGGCGGTCTAATCAGCCGTCCGACACAGGTCCCGACGTAAACAAAACAGCGGCCGGTGAGTGGTTTGAACAGGCAGCGCTGACAAAAATGACTGCAGTTGTGATCGGTTTTGTTTGTTGATAATAATGAGGTGGAATCTAACTAGGCAAGATGGGCCCATGATGATTATCTAGATGTGATAATTAAAGATAAACAGAGGTGAAAATCCGCCGGTAATCGCTAGTGGACAATCACGGAATTTAATGTATCTTACCGATAGTCTCCGTATGGAGGCAGCTGCTTCACGGTGATTCGGATGGAGTCGTTGCCCATGGTGAGCTTCAGCGCATCCTGAACGCTGATCAGCGACTGGTTATCTTCGTAGACCACGGAGACATTGCGCCAGCCGCTGAGGCGCAGAATGTCGGCTACGGCCTGTTGAGAACGGTGATAATGTCAGTCTCAGTGTGACTGAGAGCAGAAAATGTCAGTCACAGACTCAAAGCCCAGTGACAATGTCAGACATAGCCTATCAACCACAGTGACATCAATAGCATTGCCTTGTAGGGATTGACAGAATACGGCGCAGCCTTCCCACCAACGCAAACATCTGTTTCAGTCTATATGTCGGCCAAGGACGCTGTTATGACGCCTTTGTCGTTTCAGCTACTGGTCATGTGTATGTCCCTCCGCCGTTGGCAGTTGGCACCTACCCTGCTGAGAGTGCTCAGGATATGCGACATCCCCGTTTACCTTACTGAGAGTTCCCGGCTGTGTGACATCCCCGTTTACCTTACTGAGAGTTCCCGGCTGTGTGACATCCCCGTTTACCTTACTGAGAGTTCCCGGCTGTGTGACATCCCCGTTTACCTTACTGAGAGTTCCCGGCTGTGTGACATCCCCGTTTACCTTACTGAGAGTTCCCGGCTGTGTGACATCCCCGTTTACCTTACTGAGAGTTCCCGGCTGTGTGACATCCCCGTTTACCTTACTGAGAGTGCCCGTGTGCGGGTGGAGGTTGATGGAAGCCTGCGGTCGCCGGGAGGCGGGGCTCCACCTCGTCTCCAGCAGCGGCACCGACTTGTGGTCGCACATGGAGCGCACGTGGTCGGAGAGGAGGTCCGAGCTGGGGCCCAGGATGGCCACCACGCCCTTCTCGAATAGCTGACACACTGCCGAAGTGGAAGTAACATCATACAGACGGCCGAAATAGCTGACACTGCATGCCTAAGGCGGAGGGAGGGTGTTAGAAACAACCCAAGCCGGTGACTATCGATATTGTGGTATTTAAAACGGATGTCGAAAAGCACAATAGATGCTGTGAAAATTGAGGAACTAAATGAAAAGCGTAATAGTGGCAGACAAAGCATCGCAAAGAAGAGAGAAGGAGCGTGTGGCCCACCCGGCGGCACTGACCTCGTCTGGAGGTGGTGAAGCTCTGCTCTCCGTCACCCAGTCGCTCCACGGTGATGTTGACGGTGGTGGAGCGGTTACTGTTGTGGTTGACGGCGTACTGGGCGTTCCGCAGCGCCTGCTCCTTCAGCAGCTGCTCTGGGTCCGTGGGCATCAGCAGCGCGCCTGGCGACGCACAGACACAATGAGGCAAGCGACAGGTACTGTCCAGTGCGCCTGGATGGACCGACAAAGAGACTCGGCTCCAGGGCGCCTGGACGGAGGCCGGACCGCCATACATACAAACTCAGTCAAATGGCATGCCAGTCAGCACGCCTGGACGGACTGATCCATAGACATGGCTTCAGACAAAGAGACCGGCATGCTAACTAAAAATAGCATGTGGCATTTCACAACAGACTGTTGTGCTATATAGCGGTAATAACTTTTGCGGGCCTTTATAACAACTTATGACTCAGTACAATGATAGCTCGTGTTTCTATCCCTCCTGCCCACATCGACCAGGAGAGTGAATACATAGTATATTAAAATGGAGCTCCTTGAATCAAAAGTTGAATTGCAAAATACGTGAAATTAGACACCGACTCCAGTCGGTTTGGCGGTCAGTTTTGCTCAATGCTCGCAGCGTCTCGCCGCAGCGATTTTCGCTCCGCTCGTCGATCACGGCCCGTCGGCGGGTTGACGCAACACGGACACGGCTCAGCGCTGCAGGTGCCGATCTGGCGCGGCTCCCGCGGCGGTGCAACAGCTCGGCCGGCAGTGGCACGGCGTCCCGGGTGATCAGGAAATTACACACCGCTGAGACGGGTCGGGAATCCGCCGGCCTGCCAGCGACAACATCCGCTCCAGACGAGCGGCGCCGCGCGGCCGAAAATCACAGGCGCCGGTCTTCAACGGCAAATCACACATCGGTCTCCGCCGGCAAATCACAGTCCACCGGAAAATCATGCACTCTTCTCCACTGCCGGCAAATTACACATCGGTCTCTTCCGGCAAATCACACTTCGGCCGCCACCGGCAAATCACAGTCCACCGGAAAATCATGCACTGTTCTCCACTGCCAGTAAATCGCACACCGCCACCCTCCCCTGGCATACCTATTACAGAAACCAACGGCAAATCACCACGGCACCGATAAATCACCACCACCGGCAAATCACACAGTGCCCTCCGCCGGCCAAGCTACGCAGATTTCTGGGCAGAAAATCGCTGACAAAGTGCTGCCAAAGACCGGTTTCATTGACAGAGAAAGTTTCACGAGCATGCTCGATGTTTATGCATCACGAATTTTATGCTACTGTTTTCGTTTGATTCGAAATGTTTCAAGATTTTTTTTCGTTAGATATGTCTTCATGTTATCCTAGCTCATTCTCATTAGTATGTTCATTGTTCATTCCTGTTTATACCTACAGGTCACCGCAGCGGTTTCCTCTGGTGACACTTGTCCAAACACGGTCTGATTTGCGGCGCTGATTTGTTTGACTGACGAGGCCCGTTGGACATTCGTCTTGTGTGTTCACCGGGTGGTCGCGCCATGAGCAGTCAGCTGGCCGCTGTTGGCGGGCCGCATCTGCACCCCGTCCCGTCCTACCCCACTGCCAGCGCAGCACAGGGTGCCCGCCTAGCGACAGACCAGACAGTTTAATCACGCCTTAATTTGAGACACCCGCATCTGTGATTGTTGCTGAGATAGCTGTGGCGAACGCCAACACTTTTATTCATAACTTATGATAAGCATAAAGTCATTCGGTAGGTAATATTTTGAAAAATAAATAAACTTGAATAGTTATTTTTGATTGTTACTAAGAATGCGTAGAGGATGTTATTTTCTGGCAAACGTTAACTTATAACCTAAGTTATGCTAGGCTCGGATAATTAGCAGAAATAATTTCATTTCATAAATACTCCTACACCAGTATAACGCCTTTTGGGGCGATTAACGGAGCGAGCGAGAGGGTGGGCCTTGCACGTGCGAAATTGCGAGGGGGTACCTCCAACTGACTTGTGCACGGCACCCTACTAACCGGTTTCTAGCGATGTGCCAAATTTGGGCACAATCGGCCCAGCAGTTCTCGAGATCTGGAAGCGGCACCCTGCACGTGCGCACGTGCAAAATGGGTCCCAACTGACTTGTGCACGGCACCCTACTAACTGGTCCCTAACTGTGTACCAAATTTGAGCGCAATCGGTCGAGCCATTCTCGAGATCTGGAAACGACCCCTGCACGTGCGCACGTGCAGCAGCACCCCAACTGTGACACATGGATATGCAGTGCCTAGTGGGTGCCTACCTACATGCCAACTTTCAGCGCAATCGGCCAAGTAGTTACCGAGATATTGCAACAATTACAAAACGGACACCTCCTCGTTTTGCACGTGGCACGTGCATAAGGGGTCACCCACATGCATCAGGAATAGTCCAATACTTGGTAGAAGGAATGAAGCTACCCTACAAAAATTACCGCATGTAAATCGGTCAAGTGGTTGCTGAGATATAAGCATCGCAAAAGCGTGACCACGGCCGGCCGGCCGGCCGCTCATACTCAGAAATTTCCGTTAATCTAAGGAAAGACTACGCTCGCTTCGCTCGCTCCGTAACAAGAAATAAACACTAACCACTGGTAGTAGTCACTTGATAGAATTGTACACTTAAATATGATGTTTTGTTTTGAATTTGTTAATTCTACCATTTATCAATGTCTTTGTTTTAGTTTGATATGACGGTAACCGAGCAATTCACTTGCACAAGCAATGCGTTCAGTTCTGTCAGCTGTGTGTGTCGAGGCTCCCTGCAGGTGCAGCACAACACACACAGTCACCTACATAACCAGCCACACATACACATGCACAGGCGCGCCGGCGGCGTGATTTTCAGCCCGTCGATCCATAAACAATCCATTAGCGTGCCTGTACCAGAAGCGAGCCAACGCAAACAGGTGCATCGTCATCGGCCCGTCCGGCCAGAGCGGGAAGCCGCGGCGAGCCAGCGGATCCGGTCCGCCCGGCGAGCGGCGCAGAGCGGTCAGTGACTAACCCCCCCCCCCCCCCCGGCCCCCCAACACACACTGCACGGTCACTGGGTGCCTACCCAGTACCTACCCAGTACCCAGCTAGCCGCTCCGGTCCGCCCCCTGCGAGCGGTCAGTGAGTGGCTGATCTCACCTCCGGTCACTGAGGGGGCCACCTCTTCCCTTTCGGTCACTGAGTGACCACTTTTTCCGCCGGTCACTGGGTGGATACCCCGTCCGATCACTGAGAGTCCACCTCCCCTCCGGTCACTCTATGACTAACGGATATCATCAAGTCACTGATTCAGTGAAGGACCAACACCGTTTCTGGTTAATGATGAGCTCATGTTAGCATAAGAATGAGTAATTTGTCAGCTCTCAGGCCAATTTGGCCCTACCGTTTAGGCGCCTGAGACGGACCGGACCCCCCTTTCAGAGAAGACCAGCACTTACCGACTATGGCGTCCACCGCGGAGACTGTGGAGACCACAGACAGACAGCAGAGCGCCAGAACCCATAGTCGACACATTGTCTGCACCGTCCTCTGGACCAACGGATGTCTGTCTGAAAAAGCAGAGATTTTATTGTCATCAAATGAGACCAATTGACAGCAGCACAAATAGAAGAGGCCGCCATTTGTCAAGGGACAGCCTCAGGCTAAGGGCAGCCGCAGCCCCGCCGGAGGTGACGAGGCGATCTAGCGCATCATCCAGGGAAGTACTATTCGATTTTTTTTCATTATCTGCGCAATTCAGTCACCAATGTGATGAGAAATGTTTGTAGTGGAGGGAGATAGCCGAGTAAATGCTTCCTCTCTGGGCGGCGAAGACCACTCATAGCGCGAATAAACGCATCCAGAAATAGGTCCCCATGAAATGCTTTTAGCCCGCTATTCACGAAACAAGGCCGCGAGGGTCGGAAAGGTAAACAAATGGTCCGAGCCCGTGGTGAGTTTGTTCCCCCCCCCCCCCTCTGGCTGACCCAGTCCCCACCCCCTCACGTACACACCGCCCGGGGTAGGCTCCGCACTGCCGCCGACCAGCGCATCAGCTAGCACCGCGGCCCGGGGCGGTTTATCCGGGGCTCACGCTGAGAATGAGGAGGGCGAAGGCGCACCTCCCGCCGCCTGTTTATTGAAAAGAGCTCTTGGTAACAAAGCAGCATTACTGGCTCTTCAGAAAGTCTGTACCAAATAGCAGTCATGTGGTAGACATACATATTTTGCCACATGCAGTAAAGTCTCACTGAGATAACGATTCCGCTTCCATGGACACTTGTGATCTGCACAAGCCAAAATTGTTGTACTGTATTTGCAAAGTCATTAGAGATGGACGGTATATGGAAATCGTAGAAAGCTATCGAGTCGTTGTGCTATGGTGTTGCGCCTGAATTCTCTCTTTGTAATGAAAGGTCGTGACTTTACCCCACACCGGCGCTGGTGGGTGCTTTACATACGCCAGTCTCTTAGCTCAGAGCAGCGTTGAGCATAATTTTAGACGCAGAGCAAGGCCTGTCAGCCGGAGGCCGCTCGGTCACTGCCATCACTCCATCAGCCAGTAGACGTGGACTTCTGTCATGCCCCCCTAGGTCACTGTTCCGCCTCAAAGGACTCCCTGTTGATCTGATCACTAAAAACGTCCCACTTTGCTTCAAGGAACGACAAGCGTTACTTGCTTTTCTTTACGTCAATTGTCTAAGTCTTCATGAATATGTAATTGAGAGAGCCGCTTACGAGTCTCTTTGGTGAAGGGATGATGCGCATGCAAGTTGACTTCGAGATTCAAGATGTACCTACGAAAAATATTTATAGAAAACAAGCTTTACTTTTCATTAACTTATCTTTCTTATAGAGTCAAGAAAGGTTTACCTCTCTAGCACTCGCTAGCCTTATTTCTCTCTACCTTTTACCCCAGTGGCGCACAGTGACACTCTTGGTGACGCTCGCTGCTTCCTGAAATTCGCACCGACACGGGGACTTTACGCTGACTGTACCGCATTCTTTCATAATTACGTCGGCTGCTGCGTATCCAGCCCCTAGAGATGATGATAGGTCGCTGCAGGTGCCACACTACGAACCTACTGATTTCATGCCAAGTAGTGTGAGAAGGCACCGCACCACTAAATGCCTGCCGTAATTTGGCAGTGAGTACCTAGGTACAAAATGCTTAGCACGCATTTGTGTTGACAATGACATGTCTAAATAATTTTGCGCGATAGGAATCAGTATCCTGGCGCTTCTCCACATTCGTAACACCCATTTATTAGAAAATCTTTCTTTACCGTGCAACGCCACAAGAGTCCGTTTGTTCGGCTGAGCCCAGGCGTGTATTGCGGGCCTGCCTACCTTCAGTCAAACATGGTGTGATGCAGGTCAGTCTACCACTCAGGCGTCGGCTGTCTGCTATCTCTCGTCGTTTTGAAGGAGGGCGGGCTTTGGCTGTCGGGATGCGTGTGTTTTGTTCGGTTGATGCCTGGATGGCGGCACCGAGAGTTGCGCGGGTACGCTGTTGTGGCTGATGCCGGGTGTGGCACAAACTCGAGAGGCTGCCAAGAGAAACTAGCCGAAGGACTGGAATGAATCAGCAATGATAAGTAACCCTGCCTCGTTGTACCGATCGGGGAGTGAAAGAGAGATAGAGAGAGAGAGAGAGAGAGAGAGAGAGAGAGAGAGAGAGAGAGAGAGAGAGAGAGAGAGGGACAGAGGTGTTAATTGGATAGGCAGGGACGAGACAGGGGTTTTATATATTTTCTCGTTTGCCATCTAATATTTTAGTCTCCGCTCTGTCTGTCTGTCTCTCTCTCTCTCTTTCTTTCTCTCTCTCTCTCTCTCTCTCTCTCTCTCTCTCTCTCTCTCTCTCTCTCTCTCTCTCTCTCTCTCTCTCTCTCTCTCTCTCTCTCTCTCTCTCTCTCTGTCTCTCTCTCTCTCTGTCTCTGTCTCTCTCTCTCTCTCTCTCTCTCTCTCTCTCTCTCTCTCTCTCTCTCTCTCTCTCTCTCTTCTCTGTCTCTGTCTCTGTCTCTGTCTCTGTCTCTGTCTCTGTCTCTCTCTCTGTCTCTCTCTCTCTCTCTCTCTCTCTCTCTCTCTCTCTCTCTCTCTCTCTCTCTTTCTCTCTGTATATCTACTTCTTCCCTTTCTTCTACTTCCTCTGTTTTGGTCAAATATGGAATGGGAATAAATGGATAAAAACCAGTAAAAATAACTCACATTTTGCATCACTAATTAGTAAAAAATTTGGTAGCTTGTTCAGTATCACTGCTTTTTACACTAATGGAATACCTATGCAGAAGCTTTTTTCTTAGGCAGCAACTTACCTTTTATCCAGTGCTCCTCGTCAGTGACGCCCTCCGACACTCGCACAACCTCCCACAATCCGCCGCTGCTGGCGCGGACCGTGTCTCCTCACCCGCTCACACGCCGGCAGATCGGCCGCCCTTTGTTCACCTCTGCTCCACACCTGTGCCGCACTCACTCCCTCGATCCTCGGCCAGTTTTCCGCCGACACTCCGCGGCTCTCGGCTGTCCCAGATCCACCGACCGGGGGCCGGGGCTGAGCGGCGCCGCGCACCTGTGCACGCCCCGCCAGCACCTGGGTCGAACACCGATCGGAGGGATTTATTTTTACCGGCGGCGTGTAGACCCCTGGGGCACGTGCCGTCCGAACAGAACGTAACAACGGTGTACCGCTCGGCTGAGTGTTCCAGCGCGACTGGAGAGGCCACTGCTCCGTCCAACTCCAGACCGTCGGCCGCACGTCGGTTGGACGCCGAGACTGTCGGCTTCGACGGCCCCGTCGACGCCGCGCCCGCCGCCCGGACGCCGGTCTCGGGTTGTCAGCGACCTGCACCTGTTACCGGGGCGATCGATCGAGTTGGAACGAGATCACGACAAGCTGACTCGTGGAGTTATGACGGAAGTGAATTTTCTGCGGAAGACAAATCTGTGTTTAGTAGATCATCCATTTAGGCATGAGCTGTTGTTCTTTCTCATGTAGGCACGTATAATTTTACGAGACCTGAATGCGTTGAGAATGGTTTAGAAATGCTTTTTTTGACTTGATCTTTGCAAACGTTCGCTTATAAGTTGCATGTACATACCTACGTTCCTAAGGAATTTAATGGCAATATCAACGGGATTTGTTTCAATGCTGTGGCTTTGCTATAACTTATGTGTGCGTGATTTCATTGATTTTCATTTATAGTTTATACTTCAGCTATATAAAGACCCGTATCATATGATCACACACATACACAACCAACAATGCAAAAGGACGAAAAGTTACAGGTTTTTATAGACAGTACAAATGCGGATTTCTGCAATCGGATAGCGTTGTGCCGTGGTTTTTAGCGACCACTTCAAAGACAAAGTGATCCTTTTCAGTATCATTTATCATCACCACCTGTTCGCTCATGTAACCTAAAATGTAAATTACAAACAGCCGAAACAGCCTGTGATTTCTGCATAAAGAACAGCACCTATACCCCACCCAGGTGGAAGGGATGGTGACGACTGGCAAATCCCTCGCATTAGTGGCTTTGTTCGAATGCGGTACACTCTTTCATATTGGCACGTGTAGCATTGTGTGAACCTGTCCAAAAACCACAATCTTGCTTGACTCTTGAAGGATCTCGAAACTTAATCTTTTGTAATTTCATATTATAGGTGTAAAATTAACAAAATCAAATTATGAAGCTTCGACCGCGAGACGCCATTTTCATAACGACCATATTTACGCTTTCAGTTATTTCAAATGCAGAACATTGCGATTACAAAGGTTTACAGGAGGAGTGGATTCCATGTTCTGAGTCGTATGAATGTGATAATCCGAAATATCCACTGAAAGTTGTTTCTCTGAAAGATTTTTGCCCCAACGGCTGCCGATGTTTTATTGACGAAGACCCAGACGCGCCTCTTCCCAGCCACTATTCGGAGACCACAAGACCACCTCCGGGTCCAGACTCGGTGCCCACGTGTAACGGTGGCTGGTTCCTGATGGACGGCATGTGCTACACCCTGACGGACAGACCCGTGGCCGGCCACGACATCGTCAGCGCCTGCTCCGAGATGGGTGGTGCCACCCCAGTGTACGAAACCTCTGAGGCTGACAGCGAGTATGTCGTCAAAGTTTTGAAGAACTACAACCGACCCCTGGCCTGGGCGATTCTTCAGGCTAAGACTCGCCCGTCTACGGCCGACTGGACGCACTGGTTCAAGTGTTTGGGTGAAGACTGCAAATGCACAACGATCAATGCTGACTACGGGCAATGGGCCACGCGAAGCTGTGATGACAAATATCCAGCAGCGTGTAAGCGAGAGCCCAGACACCAATACTGAGCCAATTTCGAAGCCTCGAAAATAAAAATTTTCTTATTTCCTGTCAAGTAGGTGACATTATGTAACAATAATGATAATTCCAAAATTGCCAAAATATGTATTCGTTGAAACGCTATTTAGGCGAGCATGAATAAAATAGTTGGCTGTTGTATACGTACCTTTGTTTATTGATAATTAATAAATACAAATGCAAGCTGTCAACTATCCTTTGTAGGCGAAGTAAATCACAATGGTGTGCAAAAATAATTTGATATTATCTCGTCCATATACATAACACATATACCTGTACTCGTAGGTACCTTTATTTTCACTTAAATACACGTGCACCAGATTGTCCCGCGAGGGGAACCTCATACCAGAACCTAGATCACCTGGCCCACAAGAAATTCTGCAAAAAATCAGAGTTTTTGGAGCTGCCATTTTTTCTGGTATCAAGATGTGCTGATCTCAGGCAGCTTTTGCCAAATTGTCAGGAAATTCAGATTTATTTTTCAATTCAATTCAATTCAGATTTCTTTTTCAAACACAATTCTAACGAATAGTGTTTTAACTATATTGACAACAAACCATCGGTTATCTCCAAATCTTCGCAGAGTAGGCCGCTGATGAGAATAACATGCATGTTTTTCCTTTTTAGGTTTCTGCTTGAAAGCATAACTTTTTGAAACATCCCAATGAAAATAACATTCGAGTAAACTAACAGTTTATTTAAAAATAATTCAACCTAGTTTTATTATAAAATAGGAATACGCTCGAACAATTTTTCCAGATCGTTTAGGCTGGTAGAATAGCATCTGATTGACTTCTCACATAGGTAAAACCTCAGAAATCAGTTTCATTTTTGGCCTTTGAGCCCGTTATACAGAATGTATTGTCTTCATTTTGTGAGCTCACAAGAATATTATTGCACTTCCATGATGCTTTTTTGTTGTTATAGATATTTTTGTTTTGTTTTTTTTCTCATAGCTCATTAAATGGTTTGCTGGAAGATCTCCAAGTAATAAGTCACGAATATCCCTACCAGCATATTTGTTGCCCCGCTGTCATTTGAAATCGCCGCTGAAATCATTTCATTTGACCATGCTTCGGGTAAATTATTCAGTTTTAGAATATTTATTGGTATCAGAAAGTTATAAGACTGCATTATTAGAATAACTATGCCGTAGTTACTGATCTCAATAATTGATCTCCGAAAATCTGTCCAATCTTCCGACATGTGATCAAGCTGATCAAAGCGTATGCGCGTCGGCTGTGCGCGTCTGAGTTCACCACGGCGGGGGATGGCTCCCACAGCCTGGCGCCGACTAGGGGAGACGGGTCGCTGGGTCGGCGCCGTGTCGCCGGTGAGGATGGGCTCCAGTACCCCTCGCCGACGGCATCCTCCTCCTCATCGTCATCGTTCCGCTACGACACCCCAGCATCCCGCTCTACGGCATCAACAGCCAGATCTGAGTGTTTGGCGAGCGAGACCGACATCCAGCGCTGGGTACGCACCGTGTCTCGGACCACTCAGTACCTGGCATCGAAAACCTCCGCAGTGGCCCTACCGGCCGGAGCCACGGGCCTGGAAAATCTGGGGAATACCTGCTATATGAATGCCGTGTTACAGGTGCTTGCACAAACACAGGATTTGGTTAACTATATGGTGAGTGAGTTTTTCTACGAAGATTTGAATCAAAATTCAATAAATCAAGGTCAAATAGCGAAGGAAATCGCTCAATTATTGGGTGTTATCTGGTCGCGAAAGTTTCGATATGTGTCGCCTCACCGTTTCCGTAATGCAGTTAGCGCACGCCGAAGGGACTTCGGCGGCATGCGCATGCACGACGCTCACGAGTTTATCATATTACTGTTGGAGTGGCTGCACGACGACCTGAACATTGCGGCCGCGGCTGGAGCGCCGCCTCAGAGACCGTCCGCCGACAACCTGCCCGACCACGAGGCGGGCGAGGCTGTGTGGCGCCAGTTCCGGCGCGCCAACGACTCGATCGTGACGCGCCTGTTCCACGGCCTGCAGAAGTCGACTCTGCTCTGCACTGCCTGCGGCTTCGAGTCGGCCACGTTCGAGACGTTCTCGCTGCTGTCGCTGCCGCTGCCGCTGCCGTCCGCCGGCAGGGCCAGTCTGTACCACTGCCTGGACCAGTACGTGCGAGGAGACCTCACCAACGACTGGAGCTGCCCCAAGTGCCGGCGCCGCCACGACGTCTACAAGAAGCTCGACCTGTGGCGACTGCCGCCCGTCGTCATCCTGCACCTGAAGCGGTTCAGCTTCGCCGGCAGCACGGCGCGCAAGGCGCACGCCCAGGTGTCGTTTCCGCTGCGTGACCTTGACCTCAGTCAGCTGGCGATCGGGCCGCACCCGGACTCGCACAGTCTGGTGTACGACCTGTACGGCGTGGTGGAGCACCACGGCAGCCAGCACAGCGGCCACTACACGGCCTACTGCTTCAACCACCCCGCCGCCAGCTGGCTCTTCATCGACGATACCGTGGTGAAAGAGAGCTCCGCTGCGAGTGTGCGCGACGCCACCGCCTACCTGTTGTGCTACAGCGCCAGGGAGGTGGCGTAGAGGGACGTCCTCTACCTTCTCTGCTACAGCGCCCGGGAGGTGGCGTAGAGGGACGCTACCACCTACCTGCTGCGCTACAGCGCCAGGGAGGTCGTGTAAAAAGGCGCCACCGCCTACCTGCTGTGCTACAACGCCCGGGAGGTGGCGTAGAGGGGGACGCCACCACCTACTTGCTGCGCTACAGTGCCCGCGAGGTGTTGTATGTAGAAAAGACGCCAACGCCTACCTCTGCTTCAGCGCCCGAGAGGTTGTGTAGAGAGATGCTACAGACTCTCCCCAAAGCTATAGTGCCCGAAAGATGGTGTAAAAGGGCATCATCTACCTGCTCTGTTACAGCGCCAGTGGAGTGGCGTGGGGAGGTGTCATCGCCTACCTTCCATGATACAGCGCCCGCGAGGTGATGCTGGTAGTTTGTTCCCATGCTCAACAGCGAAGCCTGGGGCGTGCCACTTTTGATTTGGGTTAACGGTTGCTTTATTTTGTAGCTTAGTTTTGGTATAGTTATCAATGCAATAATTTACGATTTGTTTTTGCCTTTAGCTAGAATATAACAACAATGCAATTATGCCTTTTAATTAACCCGCGCCCTGATGGGGGGGGGGCCATTTTGCCCCCCCCCCCTTTGGTTTTTCCTAAATAGCGAGAAAACGGCGGCGGGCGCCAAATTTTGGTTACCTTACCGGGCATCAATTTGACACCTTTATACAAAATTTCAAGTCACAGGTCACCTCAGGTCAGGAGTTATTGAGGTCAAGCTGAGGTCATGTTCGAGTAAAAATGAGCAAAAAACATGACATCTTGAAACGCTCACCAATTCTACAGTTAACAAGCAATTTTAAAATTCTTTGTGTGGTTGTGTAGAGAAAAGACGGTGCTACAAAACTGCTATCTCAAATTTTCGAAATTTTGGGATTTTGATCCCCAAAAACAAAAAAAAAATGATTTTCTTTAGAAAAACTAAAAAAATTCCAAGAAATTTTCGAATTTCGAAAAACCGGAAGATATGTGATAGTCCCTGCGCTCTTCGATATACATACCAAATTTTAGATCGATACCTCTTTTTTTGGCCAAGTTATAGCGAAAAAAAAACTGTTAAAAATTGATGACGTCAAATTTTTGAACTCAATTTTAAGCAATTATAGACCTCGTAGCGCAAAACAGAGACCACCATTGAACTCCCCGTGACGAGCTGCATCGAATCAATACCGATTTTATGCAAAAATATCAACTTTGAAATTTGACCTAATTTGACCTGACCTTGACCTGACCTTGACCTAACCTTGACCAAAACGAGGCCTAAGCTGGCCCAAAAGTCCGCCTGACCCACATAATCGCATTTGTCATGTAAAATGGACCATAAAACATGTATCACACGACACTTTCATATTGTGACCTCCCAGTGACCTGACCTCTGTGACCTGACCTGGTATCAGTGACCTCAAATAGCAAAATATGTGTTTGAAGAACATTTCCCCATCGATGATTTTCAATGAAATGCATTTTACTCGATTTTACAACGAAATATTATAAATATTTTTAATAAATATTATTTATATATATTATAATTATTTATATATATTATTATTATTTATATATATTATAAATATTACGAAATATTATTTCTTGAAATGCCTGTAAACGGTGAAAATTCGACCTTTGACCTGACCTGTGACGTCATCGGTTTGACCGAGGTCAATGAGATTGAGTCACAAGGTAGTTCCCCGTTGGGGCTATCCAACGCCGTTTACCGCTTGTCGCTATGTTGCGTGGTTCTCGAGATCTTAGGGGGGGGGGGCAAAATGCCCTCCCCCCCATCAGACCGCGTTGCTCGGCAGACCCCATCAGGGCGCGGGTTAAGTATGTACATAGATGTGTGAGAATATCAAAAACGTTACCTGGCATATGCTATAAGATGTATGGAAATGGTAATTACGTTTTTTTTTCATTCCTGTAGAGCTGGGCTTCGTTATACAATTTTGATAAGTATTGGTCAAGTATATTATTTCACAGGTACATTTATACCTACGTTGAATGGTTGTGTGACATAACGGACAGCTTACAGGCATTTCGAAATGAAAATAAGCAGAAATTATCGATATCAGACTGCGTCGCATCAGTAACTTACACACTACACAGTAACGGCAGCCCAGTACCAGCCATCTCGATTTGTCGCCAGCCGCTGCCGACACAGCTGACGCCATCAGTGGAGTACAGCGAGGACGACGGTCGCCAGCAGCGTCAGCCGGGTGACTGTGAGCAGGGCGGCGCACCCGGCGGCGGCGGCGCTGAAGCGCTCCTCGGCGTACGGGTGGAGGATGGGACTGGGTGTTCTGTCCTCCGGGTAACCGGCCGGCTTGGTGGTGTTAGTGGAGACCCAGGCGGGCAGCTCCTCCAACAGCGGAACCGTCGGCACCGCGCAGTACTCGTCGTGCAGCACCCACACTGGAGCGCACACAGACAGACAGGCACATGAAGTCAGCAGGTCACGCGGTGAAACGGGAGAGTTTAAAGGAACCCATTCCAGTGAGGATGTGGCATGTGCCATTGGCTATATGCCCCGGCTTACTGCGTTAGGCATATTGTTGAACACATGTTCTATTGATATCATTCTTCCATTTCACAAACTTTATGAACCGTCTCCGCATTCTCACAGTATTGACCTACAGGCATTTGCGTAACCAGTTTATTACCTGACTCGTTGATTGGTACATAGTTTGATTCAATTCCTTCCACACAGGAGTCGTAAAACTCCATGGTCATTTCGCAGTGCAGGCCAGACGTCTCATACAGACACTGTTGGCCTGAAATCAGATACGGGAAAATTGGTGGTCGCAGATAAATTACATTACAAATATCAGCGCACCTGATTACCGTAAATGGTTGAATGAACAGTTTATTATCTAAATTACATTATACTGAAAATTCAACTCCTGCGGCCAGGCGATACCCTGTTTCTGTTGACCTTTTCTATTCGATTATAATCCATCTAACGCATGTTGATAAGAGAAACCGTGTGTTTGTCATGTATTTTTTTTTTAATAACTTGTTGTGTCTTTCTGTAGAGTTCATTGACCTTTGCTTTGAACTTGATTGACCTTGCGATCCTCGTGTCAATGCAAAGTATAGCAAATGGAATCAACGATTTGAGCACACTTTTGCAAAGAGAAAGATGGAATGTCAATGAGGTATGTAAGTACTTACAGATAAGTTGAGTGGTGGTCAAATTTGCAATCGGATAATCGTCGTTGCTTGCGGTTCCATGTTGGACTGCCAAAATGCTTATCAACAAGAACAAAAGATGTATATTCATGGGTTGAAGACCGATAACATTTGAACCGTAATCGTGCACCTCAAGTGCCAGTCCATTACTGAAATATACTTTGAAGCGTTTTCAAGAACAAAATAATTTCAAATACGATATGGAACCAATTTTGACAGAGCCGATAAAAAGAAAACCATTTGATGGATGTGAGATGTGATTAGAAAAGGCCCTTGAAAAAGGCTACGAATTGAAATAAAAATGTTTGTATATCGTGACAAACATGGGGGCATTCACCCATCCCGCAGAAATGTGCCTAAATAAGTATGTTGATATAATTTCGTACCAAAATTCCGTGTAAGCACATAGCACATTATCGCTTTCACAGGAGCCGCTTTCCTTTCGAAGCCTCTCAAACATCCTTAGCCACCAAACAGCGTGTATTTTACTATCGATGCGCAGAGGGCCTTCAGAGTTTGGAGCGACAAACGGTGACGAGTTGGGGTGGGCGTCTGGCGCGGACCACCCGGGAGCCTGGCAGGCGCGGCGGGACCCGGACACAGGGTGGACTGGACCTATATAGAGTGAGCTATTCAGAGCGCTAAATGCTCGCCGACTACACCTAAACTCAAGTCGGGAGCAACTAGCAACTCGGCAAATGGCAGCCAGTTACACTTGGTCTATGTCGTTCTATATCTGACGGCTAGCAAGCAAATTAGTAATATGGACCATTATGGGGATTTTTTTACATAATCGTCATCGACAATATTCTGAGCACTATTATCAATATTTCTATCAGAAGGGAAACGGTGCTTAATTCGGTTGAACTGTAACGAAATACTGATCTGTCCCTTTGGAAGAATTAAGAAAGAACAAAGTTAGACAATCAGACAAGATTAATTTTGAATATTTCAAATAAAGTTTCCGTTATTAAATCGTGAAAATATCTTCAATTTAAGCGTGGTAACGGATTTGTATCTCCCTGTGAATGTGACGTTGCAGTGACCTCTGAAGAGACCGTGTCCGGGGTCGAGCCCTGCCTCTCCCCCAGAGTCAGGCCGCCGGGTGGTGCCGCCAGGGACATCTGGCGCCAAAAATTACAACTAGCAGTTAGCTAGAGGACAGCACAGTCGCCCTTCGCCGTCCGGCAGTGAAACGGTGCACCGGTGAAACCGGTGCTCGCTGACTCTGGGAGCGATGGGTTTCACTTCGCTCGAGTAACACATATTCTGGTATGAGAAGGTGACATAACACATAACACCAAACACAAAATATTTACTACAACAGTCGAACGGAAACACAAGCCTCAAGATGATCAACGAACTTCCACGGATAGGTAATTTATCGAGCGAGCCTCAGCCTGCGGGGTCAAGTTTTGACATTCACTGGGGACACTACACTTTCTTAGTTAGACAAATACAATGCGAGCAGAACATTCCACACAAACCTCGGACACTGAGAGGCAACACTGTTGCCGCTGGCTCAGGTAGCAGTCGCGCTCTAAATGTCGCATTATTGAGACGGCATGCCCTGACAATACGGTCAGTCGCTCATAAAGTGTACCTTGTTTATAAAAATAGCGAGACATCTACGACAACCCGACGGAAACCTCTCAGATTTTCACCAGAGCAAACAGTGAGACGTGTCATAAGCGCCGTTCTTGGCCCGTGAACGCATCTAAAAGTACAGGAAAATTAATTTGGGAATTGGAGTGAAGTGAACGTGGGAGCGTGAAGATGGTTGGGTATACCATAGCAGTCGCACATTTTTTCTTAATAACTTTAGGCAAAGTATGTTCAGAGAGAAGCGCAAATCTTACACGACATCGAGGAGAGATGGTACTGAATTGCTAACAAAGCAATGCCCTTGTTTATATGACGGCCCTCTAAAAACGGTCAGTTTAACGTATAGAGTCGCATCCAATTTTGAATTGGTGGTTGAAAAGATGTGAATCACTTTTAAAACACCTAACACAATAAATTTGAAAACGTTTACAGTCAGACTACTTGTGAAAGTGATTTGTGTCATGGTGACCTATGACCTATGACCTAGTGACCTATGTAATAATGAATAGAAAGAAAATATTGAAAGAGATAAGGATACATCTCGAATTGGATCTATATACTTTCTAGCTCCGCAGACGTTACAAGCCTTGATACCCAACGAATCAAAGACTGTCTCACGACTCACAGCTATGAATGGCAAAGTGACCTCTCAATGGCTCGTTTCTGAGTCACAATCTAAAAGCTTCTCTTAGAACGTTTCACGTCACCATCAATATACGAAGGTCACCATTTCATACTCGTAGCTCAGTTCAACGCTTTTATGTAAAGGTAATAGTTTTGGGGCGATTTTGGTGATGAAAACGTTAGCTAGCAATCACGTTCCGGAGGAAAATGTGTTCAGTCATGATCAGGAAGCATGAATATCTTTTTGGACGTCCACGATACGCAGAACATAGCGCTTCAGATTGCTTCCATGTAAATCGGCGCACGCAGCAGACGACGCAGGTGGTGCAGACTACAGAATAAGAGTTGAGCAATGAGCATCGATTTGAGCACCATCTATGGTCGTGGATTAGCCGCAGATCCTGTCAGAATTAATTAGCTCATCAGCAGCAACGCAAGGCCTTTGTCTGGTACCGGCAACCGCAAAAATGCGACTCGATAATTGTTCGCCAGCTCGGAAAACTATGTAGAGAACCATTGCAATGCACATAAAATGTTAATGTTTGTTCTTTTGAGGATGGCGTGTGAGAAGACAAAATGGTGTAAGAGTTGGTATGAGTTCTCTTGTAGGGTTAAGTACATCAATGAAAGCACATTTACCACCCGCTGCGCTTCGAATTGAACCATAGGAGGATCAGCATGCCGTACATCAATGGATCCACACATAACATCACAAACGACAGTCGATATCGTTCATAAAAACTCAACAGTTATTTGAAACCAATAATTACCGGGCTATGATTGACAATGAAGTTATGCAAAACATAACTAATTTTATCTCCATAAAGCTCTAAACGAAAGCATTATTGAGATTTTGCAGCTATTTTAAAATCAAACGCAACAATAGCGAACATACCACACGCCTTCCCGTACAGTTCGCAGCGGTCGCAGTCCTTTCAGCTGCCAGCAGCACTGTCGGCTCTGATCCTGCCAGCTCTATGACCCGCCGCGTTTGACGTACCAGCAGCACTGTCGGCTCCTGACCCTGCCAGCTCTACCCGCCGCGTTTGACGCCCATGCGGCCGACCGATTCGCCAGGCGGTGGTCGGCCTTTTGATTAGCACAAAGCTCTGCATTGTTTGCCACTACCTGCGGCCGTCTCTGTCTCTCTCAGATACCTCAGTCCGGCTGTGACGCGCGGACGCGGTCTGACGGCAAGCCGGTCTGATCGCTGTGGTCCACTCTGTTCCCCACATTGGCGCCACATAACACCGGTTCTGAAGACGACAGATACCTCGGACTCGGTGCTTGTCGCTGACTCGTCTCGCCACTCATTATATAAACAGTTAGCTGGGACGGGGCTATATTCGGAGAGAGTACCGACATTCCGCCCGACTCTGAAGTCGCACACGGGTGGGGCTCACCGAGGGTCCGCGGTACTCGTCCCCGGTTCTCACGGACATGGTCCCCTGCCGCGACCGGTGGCTCCGGGTCCGCAGCTCCGTCCCCGGTGCGGGTCGCGCCCCCGGGCCTGTAAAGCGGCGGGTGACCCCCGGGATCGCGCACATCCTACCGACCGCGCTGTCGGCCGACACACAGGTACTTTTGATGACTGTTCCGGCGGCGCTGGCCCGGCGCCCCGCGGCGGCGGCCAGTGTCTGAGCAGCGCGCTCACGGCGGGTCGTAGCCACGGTCCAGGTGCGCCGCTGGATAAAACACTGACCCTCGTGACCGGTACCGGCGGGCGCCGCACGGCTCCGCTCGCTCACTGCTGCCTCACGGCTCCGCCCGCTCACTGCTGCCGGCTTCGCAGCTCAGAGCATACGGCAAGCACTGCACTCGGCAGGTGACTGGTTTCTGCTCAGAACACGCCATGAGCGCAGTAACACACACCGAGTAGCTCTGAACTTTTGGCGAGAGCCCGTCTCGCCCGGACGGAGCGGCGACGAATCCCTCGGGTGACGCACAAGTCACCGTGACGTATGAGAAGCTCAGCCAGGACCGCGAGACCTTCCCTCGGAGTCTCCGCCTGGCAGTCGGGTCCTTCCTCAGACGGCGGTGACGTCCTGTTCCCGACTGCCGTCCGGTGTCGTCACCACGATGTTGTGCTGCCGCCTGCCTCCTCCGAACCGCAGCCAGCTGGGCAGTTTGAGCCGGCGGCGGCGGGTCCCGGCGCGCTGCCCCCCGGCGGTCACCGGCCTCCCGGTGGCGTCCAGTAGGCCCTGGCTCTCGGTGGACTTTGAGCCGGGGACTCCGAGGAAGGTGGCCGGGGGATCGGCGGGGCTGCTGCCGCGGCCCCGCACCGAGCTGCGCGCGCCGTTCACCGAGCGCTGAGAGCGCAGGGAGCTGCGCTTAGAGCTGTTACTGCGCGGGGAGCCGGTTCGCGAGAAGTCCGAGACGTTGCTGTAGGCTGTCGGTAGAGCAGACGGTACACCCGCCGCCTTTCCGAACCAGCACCGGCAAAACGTGACAAGAAATGTCTTGCGGTACTTGTCGCTCAGCGCGCAGTAGAGCACGAAGTTGATGGCGGCGTTGATGGCCACCAGCAGGTTGAAGATGTTGCCGAGGATGCGACGCACGCCGTCTTCGTCGCTGCTCTTGGGCGGTGAGACGGTGTAGATGAGCATCACGGCCGAGGGCAGCTGACAGAGCATGTAGATGATGACCACCGATATGAGCATGATGGTGATCTTGTTCTCCTGCTGCTGTGACTGGCTCTCGCCGGCGCAGAGGACGGCGCGCTGGCGGCGCGACTCCTTCACGGCCAGGATCAGGAACATGTTGAAGACGGCCAGCAGCACCAGCGGTATGAAGGTGAAGACGACGGCGCTGAACCAGTAGAAGGCCTTCTTGTACTCGTCGTTGTCGCCCAGGTGTTCGTTGTAGCCGGTGCTCAGCACGCTGCTGTTGGTCTGAGGGGGACGGAAATATGTCAAGGTCTAGACATGCTCCAACGGGAGAGGGAATAGAACGGGTGGGCAAGCGGGTCCTCTCTGAATGGACAAGTACTCGAACCAGAACGTTAAGCTAGATGGCCGTTTCTGGGACTGAAGGTTCGTGGTACCAGCACAACGTATCCCAGATCACTGTTTCATTTCACACGGCAATCGATGGCCTGAATAAATATAACAGAGGTCATGTCATCAGAGCCTGCAGTCTGTTGAGCTGACAATACATATCTCAACACTGCGAAACTCATAGCCCAACAGCAAACCATCCATCCGACATCGATACCACCCTCCATCCTCTCTCCCACTCAGCGTCATCTGCCCCTCCACGGCGCCGTCCCCCTCTCACCTCCTCATCGAGCCGCTCCTTGACCTCGAACTCGAACGGCGTGGAGAGCGTGGTGAGGAAGCAGAAGAGGTAGACGATGACGATCATCCGGCGCGCCCGCGACTCGGTGCAGTAGACCTGACCGCGGATCGGGTGGCACACGGCGATGTAGCGCTCCACCGTGAACGTCACCGTCAGCCAGGTGGATGTGCTGGCTGAAAAACGAGGGATGGGGTGTTAGAGGTATGTGCTGGCTGAAAAACAAGGGAAGGGGATGTCAGAGAGACGAGCTTGCTACAAAACGAAAGGAGAAAGGGAGTGTCAGAGGCAGGGCCTCGGCTAAGGAATTTTGAATGGTGGGCCACTTGGGCAGCGACATGGACTGACTTTCGTAGCCATAGCCCCCCCCCCCCCATTTTCGATTTATCCCCAGATTTCGGCCACTTTATTCTGCAAAAAACGTCAGGATGGCATTAAAAATGTAAAAAAAAAAAACGGGGCTCGACCCCCCCCCCCCCCGACTCTTCAGAGAGAGAAGAGAGAGTAGGGACCCACAACCTTCTCAGTGGTGATACTCCGGCGGTGCACATAAAATCGCACAAGTATGCACAAAATATTGACGCAGATTATAAAACTTTGGACGATAACTTACGGCCGGTCGTATGTTAAAAATCAGCGAGCCCTGAATGGATCGCTCGCCGACTAGTCGGAGATTCGGAAGCGATCGGACGGGATCGGGCGTTGTCGGGTGGATCGGGAGGAATTGTGAACAGCACGAGTGCAACTTTATATATAAAGTGGGTTGTAGCAGGAACCCCAAAAGGGGGTTGTAGCAGCAACCCCAACATCTCCGAAAATGATCATTAAGCCTATTGGTGTCGCATGGAAAAGAATTCACTCAAAAGCCCAAGCGCACTGCGCAACCCTAATATTTTCTTTAAAAAAAAAAAACTAAGTTATGTACACTTCTGGTGAACAGTGTCCTAAACTTCAGATTTCTCTTGGGTGTCTGAGTGGAAGATTATAGCCACCCAAAATGTGAGAGTGGAAAATTATCCATTCTTATTCTTGAATGTCATCTTCAGCCCAAATGAGAAATTTTTGGAACGCTGACTGTGAACGGTTCGAAATTCGTCCAACTGGTCAGATGTGCGACTGCAAGCATCATACCGTTCGTGAAGACACATAATATCGCTTGCAGACTTCAATCGGCTGGAAGTTGCCGACACTACCTCTAGTTTGACTCTGGCTTATATCGTGTCTATCGGCGAGCCGTCTGAGATCGCTCGCAGGCTTATCCCCGACCGTCTGAACTGGTCTGTTCTTTATTCGTAGTTTTTCTTGTAACCGACTGGTCTGCGGCAGATGCTTATGTGACTGTAACCACTCGATCGATCGGAAAGCTTGCAAGAACTTTCGCAGACCTCGATCGGCTGGAAGCCGCCGACACTATCTGTAATTGACAGAGGCAAACGTCTTTCACGATTATTGCATAAAATTTAAAGCCTCGGTCACACTTAAACGAATTGGACCAACGGACGAGAAACGGACGAGAACTGTCAGCGTCCGGTGATGTCCGTTTGTTTCCGTTGGACGTCCGTTTGTCATCCGTTAATATCCGTTCCATGTCCGGTGGTGTCCGGTTGAGCACACCGGACACCACCGGACATGGAACAGATATTACCTACCGGATGAGAAACGGACGTCCAACGGACACGAACGGACATCCCCCGGACATCACCGGACGCCGTCCGTTTCTCGTCCATTGGTCCAATCCGGTGAAGTGTGACCGAGGCTTAACCTACGGCTATCTCAAGAAACCGGGAATGGTGATGGTATTAGGCGGGCAACGACGATCAAGTTCTTACTTTTAATAAATGCAACAATGTAGTAGGGCCTCTGTCTCTGTATGTATCACAATGTTACCTATGTCGTGATGTAACATGTGAAAACTTCGATTTTTCAGAAAATTACTGGTGGGCCAATTCTTTGAGGCTGGTGGGCCATTTCCGGTCACTGGTGGGCCATTTGGCCCACCAGTTAACATGTTAGCCGAGGCCCTGGTCAGAGGCCAGAGGGGTGTGTGAGATGGAGGGAGTGTCAGGGAGTGTGCTAGGGCGGGAAATGTCTGTATAGGTAACTACATAATGCATATATAATTTCAATTACATATCGATGCTGTGCCGGTGCCGCACTGAGATGGTCCGAATCGAGAGGCCCGTCGTTCTGAATTGGTTGGCGAACACGAATGCACTTTGTTGCAGGGTAATCACGCAACATATTTTGCACAGCCACTATTCAGTGTCTCGGTCTAAAAAATAAATCAACTAACGAAGTTAATGATACTTTGATGAAGTTTTACAGAGGACCGTGAACAAGCACTGTGCTGCCTGCAGCCAGTTATGCCAAATTTTAAAAGCACTTTAGGTGGATTGCGAAACGAAATCGAGAAGTTAGCGGAACATCAAAGGGTTGCGATAAATCCTTAGAGTACGTATGTTGCAGTCACTTTAGAAAATCAGTCATTTTACAAAAAGACGGCTGTTTGAAAAATGACTGAACGCAACCAGGCTTTTTTCAAAATGGCTAGCCATTTAACAAAATGACTAGGCATTTTGCAAAATGCCTGACCAGCATAGAACGTAGATCCCACTACAGATACTATGGCCAACAGTTTTTGGACGTCTTCCTATACCCTATAGGTACGTGTTCAGCCTGTAGCTGATCGATTTGAAGCTCTGTGATGACGACAATGCTGAGTAACGACCAGGTTGACGCACGGACGCTCACTCACAGCCCACGGATCAACAAAGAAGCCCAGTGTGGACCACCCCTCCCCTCCTCAGTTGACTGGACAGCGCTCATTGGCTCTAAGGAACTTCAACAAGTCTACCCTAGGCCTAGTCCACACAATTGTTTACAGTATTATTGTTTAGGTTTTCTTCCTAACTTTTCTTTGGAATAAAAAAGCTCTCTGATCACAATGAATATTAAAGCAATAATTAACAAAACACGATTAATTTTGTTCTGTGGCAACAGCTTTGAGTACCTACTTGCATGGTCCCAGTTAAAAATATCAAGCTCCACATCGGGAGAATCATCAGGTCGCTTGGCGTAGGACGAGAGCGTTGGTTTCAGAAGACACTAACGCCTATGTACGTAAGTGTGTGGGATCGAATCCTCGCGACCTCTAATAGTTTTACAGATACAGGCCGGCATAGGGCCAGTCGTTTGTTGACGCTCCAGATCGATCATTTTAAATCCAGAAGCGTCGCTGACGTGGGGGTTGGAAATGTCGCGGGCCTGCATTTCTCAAAATAGAGGTAGATATGGACTTCCCACTGCTGGACTCCTCTGGTCATAATGCTGGACTCCTCGGTCCACCTACACGCTACCAAAACGTATATAATTAGGTACTCGTATCTACAACACGCTGCTCAGTCATTTTGTAAAATGGCTAGGTATTTTGTAAAATGCCTAGGCATTTTGCAAAATGACTGGAGAGTCAGTCATTTTGTAAAATGCCTAGGCATTTTGCAAAATGACTGGAGAGTCAGTCATTTTGTAAAATGCCTAGGCATTTTACAAAATGACTGATTTTCTAAAGTGCCTGCAACACGTATATTGTTTACCATTGCTTCCAATTGTTCGCAATGAAAGCTAAGAACGCTTTTGAGGCTGTGCGGCTGTACCTGCTAATGCATTTTTTCTTAGTTACTTCTGAGTTATGAGTGACACTGACTGGCAAAATGATTACCTTCCGACAACGGACATAGGCATGATGCATGCCATATGCATGAATAGAACGTCAATCACTGCTGCTGTGTAAACAGCGAAGTAGCGTTTTTTCTTTTATTTTTTAGACGGTCTAAACTCCGGCACATTGGCCCAGCACCTAAGAGAATGAAGGCGTCTTTCTACCCGTCTGAATTTTCGACTCTCTGTCACTGATTGCACTGTCTGACTGCCCGACTTCCTGACTGTCTGACTGTGTTTGTCAATTCTACCGACTACAGACCGTGCCTCAATCTGTTTATCTGACTTGTTTCCTGACTTACTGCCCCGTGTGACCGCGTGTATAACCCATTGTGTCCGGCATGGTTGACCGGTAACTGACTGGTCGGCTAACTAGGCTGTTCGTCTGCCCATGTCTGACCTATTCCATCGGCACGGGCAGCGCTGCTGGTAAAACATGGGAGCGTGCTGCACCATAGTTCACCCGCCTCCAATGCTGCCTCTGTGCAATCCGTCCCTCACATGTCACTTAGCGCCGAGTTAGACGGATTTCCAGTCGGCTCCTGTCAGCCCGACCACGTATTCTTCATTCCTCACCGCCGGTGAACAGGCGAGCAAAGCATTTCGAGCCAGATGAAGCAATGCATTTGGGAAAGTGCATACGTCGCCTGATTTATTGTGGCAGAAACTCGGGCGCCGTGGGCTCCAGTGCCGGTGGACGAAGCACGAATAATGTAATGCAGCGTGAGTGGGGTAATTCTATTAGCGAAAACGACTATTCCAGTGAATACGGATATATTTCTTCACCGATTTGGGTTAATGTGATGCATATTATTTATTGTGCATATTCACACTAAATACCTACCGTCCTACCTAATATACATTACACAAAGCAGTACAGCTGGCAGTGTGCAGCCAAGAATGCCGAATAAATTCAGACGGGCCATTGACCACTCCCCTACGGCCAGTGCCAGCCCAGTCTCCTAGTGGATTTTGTATAACAGTTCTTAGTATTGTGTCATAAAATGACGCCACTTATGATATCTTAGAATATTATTTTAAATAAAGCCATTTAAAGCTTGTGCATGCCTTTTCATACTCGCTTTTGAGACGAGCATGTTTAAAAAATGTATAAACGGAATGGTATGGCATATACGGTATAGAATGGAATGCTATGCAATGTGATTTTAAAATGCATGTAAATTATGCATGCAGAATGGTGATAACTGATATCACGTAGCATGAACAAAACACTTCGTTAGGAATTCCCTGGCTATCACTAAAATAGTAATGCTTCTGTTCTGCAAATGTGTCTTGTGCAATATGAATTTGACAAAGTAGGCCCAGCAATATTGCATTATCGCGGCGCAATAGCTTGCAATTTGAATAAATTTTGATACAACCTAATCTAACTTACACACTTTGGATGTGGTTAATGAGACAGCTCATGTCATATGACCATCCACCTTTCAAATCGTCC